GCGAATATATTTGTTTTACCGGCAGCTTGGACGACCGCAGAGAATGTTCGAGATGGGGTTGGTTTCGTGCAGAAAGGGCTTTCAAGTATAGTCCATACACAAAGAAACTCGCGCTAGTCATTTTGAAGCACACAAGTCCAGTTCCCGTAAGTCCATCCAGTTTCATTTCGTCTTCTCTCTAACACACTACTAACATGACTTATATATCCTACAGCACACAAGTCTATCCGGTACTCACCTTTTCCCGCTCAATAATGAGCATTTTCGCCGATTTCGAACCTCGTTTTCATCGTCTGTCACTCTTCCTTCCATCTAATGTCTTCCCAATCACTCCCCGCTCATTGTAACCCAGCTCTGTGTCTATCTGAACATCATCCTGGCCCCCCAGTGATAGCATCATTTGGTGTATAACCAGCTCGCTGCAATGGAGACGGTCATTCGTCAACCTGGCGGGAGGGACGCGCCATGTTTGTTGACCCCGCACCTGTCAGGCAGGGTAAGCGTCTTCCCCAGTCTGCTCTCGATCGACGCTTTCTGACAAGATCGGATGAGATCAGTAGAATGAAGACCCGGAAGGAAACATTGGCGTACCTATGGCCAATATGGGCGCATGCATGCCCACGAGCTTCACGGTAAGCAAGGATGGCCCCGCTATAGCTTACGTTCAGTCGGCATCGTGCGAGTATGCTGAGGGCGCCGGACTTGGAGGATGTGCGACTGCTTCAAGGCGTGCAACGACTCCGCGCGACCGTTATCTGGTGTGGGCTAACACAAACCATGCAGGTTTGATGTTGTGATGGTGAGTTTTGTTTGTACCCTGGTCCTAGAATGTGTCGCGAATGGCAGTGATGGTCGTGTAGGTTGATTTCGCGAGCAACGTGAAGCAGAGCACGATGCACATCCCGGGAACGTGGAAAATCGAGGTCCCTGGGAGGCCGACATGTTGGTCGACAATCTACCACTGTGACACATCTCCAAGGCATGCGCCGGGTATCGAACTTGCGCGAATGACGCTGCGGGCGCACGATGCAGATCCGCTGACACCAGCTAGACAGCCGGTAGCCTGTCGCTCATTTGTGTGGGAGCGCAAGCTGGGTCCGACGTTTTGACGGTCGAGCAGATCGTGTCGTTAGGCTCATGACCCGGGGGATATTATGATGGTCAGGCACGCTGTTGACGAGATCGCGCGATGTTTCGTGGGTAGGCGTTGCTGAGAGCTCGAGGTAAGCGCCCGGTACCGCCAAGGATGTCGCGACGAGCCATGTAAGACGGCTCAGCCAGTTGTGGCAGCAGCTGCAGCAGGAGCAGTGTGCGCTGCTCTCATGCGGACCGGCTATAAATGACGCCTCGTGATTCGTCATACACGGTGAGTCCGTCACGCTGATGGTATTGACACGTTCGTGACTTCGGACGAAGCTCAGATGGTGTCATGAACCGTGGAGGACGAGCGGGCCTCCTTGGTCCAGATGTGGGCTCCGGAAGAACCAGTGATGGTCGGGTAACGTGTCGGCTGTATGAGCTACACACTCGCGAACCTGCAGCACTATCATACGGGAGCATTGGTATGGTTCCACGAATCTTCATGCGCATCGGGTCTGTCCTGCTAATCATGTTGTTCGGTTCATGGCTAGGAGACGACCCGAGGTTGGCGACGCGCATGCGAAGCAGGCCACTGGTACACCGGCAAGCCACCTCGGTATGGATGTGGGGGTGTGAATGGCATCGTCGAATGCTTGATAGAATGAGTCCACTCGCAAAGACGACGTTTGCTGCTCACGTCCGAGGGTCGATGGGGAGAAGTTCAGCCAGCTGTAGAACTCGCGAAGTATGAAATCGGTGCATACCTTATCATGGGAGTCTCCTTGCTTCTAATGGTTTGTTCATGTCTTCGTTTGTGAAGATGATGTTGGGTCTGGTGCGAGCCGGCGTTAGTGCTCTCGAAAATCTTGTCGTGGATATGACTTACCTTGAATATATCAGATGCCATTGTCAGACCTTGATCGCTGTTCACATTGAAGAACTTGCCCGTTCGCGTCCACGGAGCTGTATAGACATGTAAGCAATCTAATATCCCAACGCGCCTACCCGCACTGATGAAGAAGGTACTTGCTCGAATGTGCTCATAGCACCCATATTGATCCTGTAGGGAAACGCACAGATCGGACGAATTTCTGATGAGTGACAATGAATGATGGAATGCACGGGAGATGCGTACCGTTGAGCAGGTGGCATATAGCTGAACGCACACATGTGACAATGTTGGGGCAGGTGGCAGCAACCGACGTGCTTTGGACATGACAGTTGACTTGCATGCGCGAGCACTGAGAGCTCCTAAAATGTTCCTGTGTGTCTGCTTCATTTTACCTCGCTCTAGATGAACTATGCAGACACTTATCTTGCACTGCTCTAGGTGCGCTTCGCTATGGTCAGGTGTCATTTGCTAGGAAGATGTGTTCGAGTGCTGCTGGTGTATTCAGGTGGGTGCACGTCATTTCACAGCAGCGAGGTACAGAGGGGTAGTCTCACCGTCCTAGGGTTAGAGACATTGTAAAGAGCAGGGGCGTTTCAGGGAATGGTGGCACAATGAGGGGAAGGGGATTGCACGGAGCTTCAAGTTCCTCGATAAAGGCTTTTGTGAATTTCTAGGCAGAGACCACCCCCGTCCAACTCGAAAATTAAAACTCAGAATATTAATGTTCTGCAGAACTCATGGTATCTGGTGTCACATATCCTGCGTCCGAGGAGTGACACGCGGCACAGAGTTCATCTCTTCGTGCCAACCGAGTGTTATCCGAACCCTTCGATTCATCTCACGCCTTGCTGCTTTCCACACAACCGCCACGCCGGCCTAGCTGGCCGAGTTCACTGGCCATGTCCAGCCCACTGTCTGCGGTGTCAGGAGACCACGATGCATCATCTAGATGTGCTCGCGAAGTCAATCTCGGGACCAGTTTAATTACTGATGACCAAGACTTCATATCGGAAATTTACGTAAACTCTCACATGTCCTGGTGTCCATGTTCTTGCATTTAGAAATGGGGCAATTGCACTGCAGGATAAGTACCGAGGCCGGTGCATTTGTTCACTGATGCTTTCCGACAGGCGGTCTCTGCACAGTAAAATGTATAAAATGAGGCTCGTATTCATAGGTTAAAAAAAACGTGCATCGAGATACAGGCATCCAAAATCTCTCGAACATGAAGGAGAAATACCTTCGGCATACCTCCGAGTCTGCCAAATGTCGAAGTGAGAAGATGCGTAATATTGAGGTTCTCCGTGAGTCTGGCCCTATGCGCGTTCTTCTCAATGACACGTCGAACACCGAGCAATCAACGCAGCGCACCGCGATAGGTCTTTTCTGGACCTCGAAGAACCACCGCAGCACCCAGAACTGTTCATTCTTGACTCGCGAGGTTCGCGTGTGAGCAAACATCATATGGCTGTGAGTGCCAACCCCTTCGTACCCATTGCGCTCCGCTAGTGTCACAACCCTGGCTCACCTACGAAAGTGGATGCAGGTCACTATCGGGCACATAACTTCCGCTAATGCCGCGCTGCGCGCATGATGTGCCCGCTTCAACTCAGTATGCGAATGCAGTGTTCAATCGACCGATGTGGACGCCTTTTACACTACGCCGGGGCACCTCTGTCTAGGAGGCTCAACGGTCGCTCTTCCTATCATACGTGACATGCGTGAACGAACGGGCATCAGTTCGACGTGAGAGTACACACATATGATTTGAAACTCTCGTGGAAGCCTGACCCTGCGAACTCTTCCTTTTCACCGATGCGCCCACTGTACGAGCGATCAGCGCAGCGCACCGCGATAGGCCGTTTCTGGGCCTTGAAGAACCATTGCAGTGCCAGTGATGTTCCACTGATATTGCAGTCCGGACTCACCTACGAGAGCAGATGCAGGTCGCGCTCCTGCACACGACTTTGACGAATACCGCGCCGCAGCCGTGGCATGCTTAGTTGGGCTCGGGACAGGATTGCAGTGTGCTGGCGACCGAGGTAAATGTCTTCCACCCCACGCCGCAACGCGTCCATCTATGAGCCTTGACGGTCGCATTCTGTACTAGACGCGATATGAATGAATGAAACGGGCACTTGACTCGACGTGAGAGACCGTGTACAGATTGAGGTTCCTCGAGGAGCCTGGCCTTGAGTGCGCTCTTCTTTTCGACGATGTGCTGACTGTCTGATGATCAACGCACTGTAGTAGGTCTCTTCTGGACCTCGAAGAAGCGTCGCAATAAGTGGAAGCGGCCTGTTCATGGTTCGCGCAGACATCGATCCAGAAGCGCGCAATACGGCTGTGAGCACCAGAACCCACGGTGCCCATCGTTCTCCGCTAATGTCGCAGCCCGGTCTCACCTACGAGAGCCTAGAATGGACGCAGGTCGCGTCCGTGAGCACGACGTCCATGGACGCCGACGCGACGTGCGCGAACAAATGGGCACCCACCTCGACGTGGGAGGCCGCGTACTAATGAAATCCTCCCAGGAGCCCAACCCCATGCACTCTTCCGTTCTATGAGGGTGCCGACTGTCGAGCGATCAGTGCAGCACACCATGATGAGTCTTTTGTGGACCTCCAGGAACCGTCGCAGCACTGGCAGACGGCTTGGATTTGCGAGGTTCGCGTGCACACTGACCCGACAGCGTGCGTGCGGGTGTCATACGGCTGCGAGCACTAGAACGCGTGGTGTCCATCGTCCTCCGCTAGTGTCGCAGCCCGGACGCGCGTACGAGAGCCTAAAATGGACGCAGATCGCGTCCGTGTGCACGACGTCCACGAACGCCGTGCCGTCGCATTCTCTAGTGTACGCGGCGTGCGCGAACGAATGGGCACTCACCTCGACGTGCGACTCGGAGGCCGCGTACGGATGGTATTCGCTGGAAGCCTGGCGGCGTGCGCTCTTCCGCAGCACCGGCCGACGGCTTGAATTCACGAGATTCGCGTGGACGCTGATCCGGCAGCGCGCAGCCATCATGCTCTGCCTGTGTTGCAGCCCGGGTTCGATTTTGAAAAGGGAGGAAGGTCGGATCTGTGCGCACAACGTCCACCAACGCCGTGGCGTCGCATCCTCTAGTGTACGCGACGCGCACGAACGAACGGGCACTCACCTCGACGTGAGACATTGCGTACGCTTCCACTCGCTGGTCTGCTCACTGCAATCCAGTCGGGGCTTTCCAGGGAACGGCCGGCCCTGTGCACGGTTATCTTGGTGTCGAGTGATCGAATGTGAGGACCGCGAGGAAGCATTGCAGTGCCTGTGCCGGCCCTGGCTGTGCAGTTTGAAGTACGCGCACGGTTTTGGCAGCATGCGTACGGTCGTCATTCCGCTGCGAGTCCTGTGGTGCATGCGGCAGCGCGGGGCACTTACGGCATGCGTGCAATTGTGGTGTTATGGTGAGAGATAGGCAAAGGGAGGGACGATGCGGTGGAATTGGGTGAGGGTAGATGTCTGCTACAGGGTCAGAATGAAAGCGCACGCATGCATTGAGCGCACGCGGAGGTGTGAGCTAAGAGACGACGCACGAAGCTTGCCACCTCCGTTCCTGCATGTACAACCCTCTCCCATGCGCACCGCATCCTGCGTCCGGGCTTGAAGCGAGAGGGCGGGCAGCGCGCGTCCTGGAGAAGGCGGGGAGTGCGCGCATGACATGTTTAGTAGGAGCCTTGGCGCGTCGGCGTCGGAGGTGGAGGCGACAAGCGCCCGTGAGACAACTCGGCTGGGCCACGACGGACATCGAGTATCTCATCATTTTGAGCGATTATGCTTTTGAACAGGAACTCGGACCATCGGAACGGTCGGGCCGAGAGATGACTCGTGCGCCACAACTCCTGCAAAAGCTTTTCTTTTCTCGATCTCTTATCGGTCTCCAGAGCGACTTCGGCCGGTGAGCAGCGCTCAGCACTCGTCGTGCTCCTCTTCTCACCTCACCCTCATGAGCGGTAAGCCCCCTCCCGTCTTCGAGCCCGCCGTGCGCAAACTCAACGAAACGTCTCGTTTTCTTTGCTCTTTTCCGCGCGTGCACCTCACCGCTACGCGCTGTCCAGTGTCCGTGGTGCTCGGCTGTCAGTGGGGCGACGAGGGCAAGGGCAAGCTTGTCGACATCCTCGCCGCCGACGCTGACATCTGCGCGCGCTGCGCGGGCGGAAACAATGCCGGTCACACCATCGTCGTCCCCATCGGCCCCAATCAGGTCAAGATGACCTTTGCGTTCCACCTACTCCCAAGCGGTGCGTCCCCATGTTCCTTTGATGGTGCTCGGAGTTGAGAAGGGAGCGCGTTGCAGGTCTGGTGAACCCGAAGTGTACGGGACTGATCGGGACTGGCGTCGTCGTGCATGTGCCGTCGTTTTTTGCCGAGCTGGATGCTCTGCAGGCAAAAGGTGTGGTATCCTGCTTCTCGAGTGGTATGGATGTCATGATTGACTTTTTTGTGGGCGGACGTCTAGGGCTGGATTGCTCGAATCGCCTGTTCATGTCCGATCGCGCGCATCTAGTCTTTGACTTTCATCAGATTGTCGATGGGCTGAAAGAAGCTGAGCTCGGTGGCTCGAGGTGCGCGATCTCCTTCCTCCACGCTCTCCTTCGCCGGCTCTTCTCCTCAGACTGTACTGACCGAGACCAAACAGCATCGGCACGACGAAGAAGGGCATCGGCCCGGCTTACTCCTCCAAGTCCTCGCGATCCGGCCTGCGTGTGCATCATCTATTCGACCATGAGCTCTTTGCCGAAAGGTTCCGCAGGCTCGTAGAGGGGCGTTTCAAGCGCTATGGGCACTTCGAGTACGATACGGAGGGCGAAATTGCGCGGTACAAAGTACGCATCCTGCCCGCATGTGCTTTCACGCATCGAGCGTCTCAACCTGTCTACTCTCATGCATAGGTCCTTGCTGAGCGTCTCCGCCCATACGTTGTCGACGGCGTCGTCTTCATTCACAAGGCGCTCTCATCAGGCAAGCGCGTTCTTGTCGAGGGCGCCAACGCGGTCATGCTCGACATCGACTACGGCACCTACCCATACGTGACGTCTTCGTCCACCACCATCGGTGGAGTGTGCACGGGTCTTGCGATCCCGCCCAAGCTGATTGGGACCACCGTCGGCGTGATGAAGGCGTACACGACGCGTGTCGGCGGCGGGCCGTTCCCGACTGAGCAGCTGAACGTGCGCTGAACAGTGGCTGTCTTCACCTTGCATGTCCACTGATGCTTTCGCATAGGACATTGGCGTGCACTTACAGGAGGTCGGGAAAGAGTATGGATCGACGACTGGGCGCCGGAGGAGGTGTGGCTGGCTGGACCTCGTGGTGATGAAGCACTCGTACCTCGTCAATGGCTACGACACGCTGAACCTGACCAAGCTCGACGTGCTCGATGACCTTGCAGAGATCAAGATTGCCGTGAAGTATCTCGTTGATGGCAAGGAACTCGAGGGCTTCCCTGGTGCGTTTCCTTCCCATCCTTAGTGCAAGCACTGGCCGTAGACTGACATTTGTCCTCATAGCTGACCTGGAGTTACTCTCGAGAGTCGAAGTTGTCTACGTCACGCTCCCAGGCTGGAAGACGTCGATAGCATCTGCAAAATCCATCGCTGATCTCCCGGGGAACTGCAAGAAGTACGTTGCGTACATCGAGGAGTTCTTGAATATACCGATTGAATGGATCGGCGTCGGGCCGGGGAGAGAAAGCATGTTGCAGAAGAAGGGACGATTAGTGCTGTAGTATCAAGGATAGAGTAAACAGACTAAGATAGTCCTGGTGACATCAATTTTCAATGCTGCAGTGGTAATCAGCCCGGCGAATTTTGTCCAGAGAGAAAGTGGGCCACAGCACCGCATTGATGACCAGATGAGGCAGGATTCCCACGCCACGCATGGTATGAAAGCGTGTGTGACAATGTTTGGCCGCCATTGTCACTTTCTCGTCACGACTGTCACTGGCGACGCCCCTTGCAAGACCGGAAAGGAGCAGCGTAACGGTCACCGAGCGAGCATCGTTGTCGACCAATATACGAGTGATTTAATGGACCCGTCCAGCCACCACCAGGACCCATCTCAGCAAGCCCAAGTCTCCTCTGCATCCACCTCGTCGCGCAAGCGGTCCCGCGAGAACGAGACACCCAGCCAGAGACACAAACGTGAAAAGGCCGCCGAGCGTCAGCGCCGGAAGCGCGAGCGAGACCGCCAGGCAGGGCTTAACAACATCCTTGCCCTATCTCAGGTGCAGCAGGCCGGCCAGCAGCCCATCGAGGCGCCCGCTGCGCTCCCGCCTACAATGGATTTCAGCAAGGGCGACGACGCATCCGTCGAGGAGGTGGCCAAGCGCGAGCGCGTCCGCGCCGCTGCGAGGGAGCGGCAGCGCAAGCACCGTGCGCTCGTCAAGGCGCGCAAAATGCGGGAGCTGGGCATGGATATGGGGAACGAGATCATGCCTGGTATGGAGGATGTGCAGTACCGCATGAGCGCGGACGGCCAGTACCAGCCTGTGATGCCACACGAGATGCAACCTCATCCTCCCCCTCACCCCCATGTCATGCACGAGCCCCCGTTCCCTCAGGGCCCGCCCCTCGGCGGGCAAACCTTCGCGTCGACCCTCCTCCTGTCCTTCTCCTGTGCGCCGCTCCTGAAGCAGCACCTCCTCCGATCGCTGAACATGACTAATGAAGAGCTCGCGTCGCTCGAGCCCATCATCGCACAAGCGTGGGATCACTGGGACCAACAGGTGAGTACCTGTTTCTGTCGTATGTCACTCGGGATTACTGATTGCATCGCCAGCGACGTATGCACTATGCACACCACGCCGCAAACGGCCATAAAGCGCCAGACGGCAGCGCCGTGCAGGACCCGAACGCGGCCCCCTATCCGCCCGGGATGAACTACGTCCACGACCCCTCCCAAGCCGCCCCGAACGACTTTCGTGCCCGCTTCCACCGGCCACTCGTCGCGCCCTCTCCCTTCCGCTCCTCCCTCGTCGGCACAGACCCACAACAGGGCGGGCAGTCGATCTCTGCGTCCACCTCAACAGGCGCACCGGGCACATCGAGCGACGGGATGGACCCTGCGGTGACAATGTCTGCGACGAGCAATACGGGTGAGCCGAGGCCTGCACTACTATCAGCTGTGACAGGTATCGATCCGCAGCTTGGCCAGGCACGCGATGAGGCGGCGGGTGTGGCGGGGAAGCTGGAGAGGTCATGAGCTCGCGCTTTGCTGTCTCTTCTTGACGATTATACTACGTTACGATGTGTCCGTTATGTTATGTCTATCCCATCCCTCGCTTTCTATCCCCTCGTCCATTAACGTTTGTCCATTTCTCGCGTATCCGTCTTCGTTTCGTCCACTCGCGTTTTTCCCCGCCTCCTCATGTCATAATGTATGGGTATGTGTCATGGCTCACGACTGGAGCAACGCAAGGACCTACTGATCGTTACAGGATGTATGCATGCATTGTCTCCCATGTATGATCAGTGTCACGTCAATTCCACTCATCACTCGGATCGACCATCACTTTGATATTTTACAGTACTCTTATGTAATTGTATGAGAAATGAGACATACGAATCAAGAACAGGAGATCATGACAGGTAACCTTAACGTCTCTTGCCCCGCCAATACCTATTATGATCTGCTGCTCAATCAGATCATGTCGATCTGTACAAGAAAGCAGTGGAGACTCACAAGTACTGGTGTCGCGGACAGGACTCATTCCTGCAACGCTGCCTAGGTTGATATACCCCTCAGCTGCATCGGCGGAGGTGCCTGCCGCTGCACCTGCGATGACCCACTTTGCCCGGCAGAACACGCATGTCAGCTCCTTCTGGTGCTGACGAGCCGTCGCCGCCCCTATAAAACCACCAGGGTCAACAAAAATCCCAAGCGAAAGAGCAACGGAAAGAGGAGCGACACGCACACTGCTGGAAACACTCCTTGTGCAGCGCGTTCCCGCATTCCTCACAGAACTCGAGCTTCGCCTCTGCCGTGCCGTGCATTTTGTCGTAGCAGATGGGACAGTCATCTTCCTCGCCCGGGATTCGCTTTTTCGGGTTCTGGTCGGCGGAGCTGGGGGACGCTTTGCCGGTGGCGACGGCGAAGGCTTTTTGTGCGCGGGCGTTGGTGACGGCTGCTGGAGAGGGCGGTGCGTGGGTGAAGATGTGTTGAAGCTCGGAGGTGAGCAGGGCTCTATTGTGAGGAAATGCGAGAGGTAAGAGCGGGTGGGTGTAGTTAAAAGGTGATGCCTACTTCTGATACCAAAAACCGGACTGTGGTGTCACTTGCAGCACTGGTGTCGGGTGAGTCCCGATAGAGCATAAGTGGGACAAGTGCTGTACCTTTAAGAAAAATAAAGATCTAGAACGAATTATGAGACCTCAGAATAGCTCAATACAAGGATTCGGCCTTACGATGTGCTTGCAGTGATTACCCTTCTTTGCGTCTGGGCCTGCCAATGTAGCGCGGATCAGTAACATGTCGCAAGTGAAGCGCAAGCCATGCTTACAGTCGCACGAGGGCTTTCTGTCAATGGTCACAGTGTACACCTACGCGGATACATCATCACTGCAAATGTGAAAAGTGACGCCGACTTACGTTCCCGGTCGAGCCGAGTACACTGAACTCCTCCTTGAGTTCGTCATCATTCCTACGTCTATCGACCATATAGAATCTGTTATAAGATTCAATGAAAGCTTTAGCACATGAAATGCGTCAGACACACAAGGAACACTCACCTTTGCCTCATGACCCTATCAAACCTTTCGAGGATGCTCTTCAGGCATTTCTTCCTGAACATAGCCCCGCGCTTCTCCACCGGCGATGCATCAGAATCCTTCTTCTTCCTTGCCTTCTTCTTCGGAGGCGCGATGTCCAAATCACCACACGCGATGGGATGAGATGAGGAAGATGCCACGTTCGCGGTCGGGTACGCGGCGGTGTGGCTGGACGAGTAGGTGTAGCCGCTTGAATGCGACGGACGCGATCGTGCAGGACGCGGAGGCACCAGTGCGTCGTGCTCGTCCTCGACAGCCTTTCTTTTCGGCATGTCCTGTTGCGCGGACTGTGTACCACAGAAAGAGAGAGAGAGAAGGAAAGGCCACAACACAGGACGCGCCGCGCGAGTGCCGCTGGGTTCAAAGTTGTGCGCGCAAGAGGCAATATTTCCCACGACATGGTATTCCAGCTCATTTCGCGCTACTGCAGCTGGCTCGCAGACACCGCGTCCGACAAGGCCCAGGATGCCCTTCTCACCGTACTCGCAGCAGGGCCGGTCCCCAGGCATGTCGCCTTTGTCATGGACGGAAATCGCCGCTATGCGCGGATGCACAATAAACGCGTTTTCGAGGGACATTCCGATGGGTTCCTCGCGTTGCGACGCGTACGTTCTATGGGCTATGGGACTGTGTTTCGTGCGCTGACGTGAGGAGTTGTGTGTTCAGGTGCTGAAGATATGCATGCGCCTGAACGTGCGATGTGTATCGGTATACGCGTTTGCTTTGGAGAACTTCAAGCGCACCCCGGAGGAAGTGCAAGCCCTCATGAATCTCGCAGAAGAGAAACTGCTTGAAATGTGTCAACATGGGCAAGTGGTCTACGTCTTTTCCCTCAACAGTCGTGTGTATTAAGTAGCCACGCAGAGAGCTACTGGACGAATTCGGCGTGCGCTTGAACGTGCTCGGCAAGACCGAGCTGCTCCCGCCGCGAGTCCAGCTCGCTGTGCGCAAAGCAGAGGAGATGACGCGACATAACGACCGGTGAGTACGCTCAGTCCTTGTTCCTCTACATCAACCATCCGTGATAAGATGTTCTACGTGTCATCACGGAGCGCTTGTCGCAGAAACACAACGTGTACAATCCGCTAACACAATAACTTCCCTCGCTCGCAGTGCTATCCTGAACATCTGCATGCCCTACGGCGCGCGAGACGACATCACAGCTGCCGTATCATCAGCCGTCCAAGACGCCCTACAGGACCCTACCGCCCACCCGTACGTCCTCACCTCACTTCACCAACCGCTTGCCCATCTCCTTACTAACTGTCCGTCCCTCACCCCACAGAGAGATCACCGAATCCGACATCGACGCTCACCTCAAGACCTCCCTTGCACGCAGCCCACCGCTCGACATCCTAGTTCGCACCTCCGGCGTCAAGCGTCTGAGCGACTACCTCCTCTGGCAGGTAAGCACCCCACACACATCCGCGTCTGTTCTCCCGCGAACCTCACCCATCCGCCTTTCTCTCACGTTCACCCCGCGCCTGCCCGTAATTTGCATCGGCTCCGTGCTGCGCGCTCCGTACTCCGTACTTCGTGCGAACTTCCGTTCGGCACGCAGTGCTGCGAAGACACCCAACTGCAATTCTCTTCTACATACTGGCCCGACTTTGGTCTGTGGGACTTTGTCCCCATCCTCCTAGACTACCAGCGCAAGGTCTGGTCGCAATCGCAACAGCCGTCGCTTTCCCCCTCGTCGTCATAGCATACCATGACAGGCACTGACACGGGCACAACGCAATCTCTCCTTTCGGTCTTCCGAATGTCGTGGGAGGAGGGAGGAGTCATGCATCATACGCACGGCCCCGCGGATCCTGCCGACTGCACCATGACATCCGCCATATGCATGTACCGTAGCACCGTAGCATCGCATTCAATCTTATCCATCACTCACTCGGAAGAAACCGCTCGTCCACGTCTAAATTCTAATACCGTAGACACGGCTATTTATTCCCTGCGATTAAGGCTACTATACACGGAACTAATGATACAAGGACCATTACAAAGATGAGACATGGCGTGCGTCTGACAGTGGACAGATCGAGCATGGGCATAGCGTGATAGTATCATAACATGATGTGAGGCGCGTATCCGTAGACCTCGGGTAACTTGACCAATACAGGGAGGGTGCATGAAAGGCAAGGGAAAGGGAGCGGGGTGGACTTTGGCTCGCACGCATGCATGCAGGCATGTACGGGTAGGATAGGGAAAGGGGGCGTTCATTTTCATCTTGACAACGTCATGGTCCACAATCAACAATAACTTAACGCGTCCGCGACAGCGGCGCTCTCCAAATCTCCTCTAAGACGCACGGAGCACGGCCGGCTCACTCGACCACTTCAAACCGACTGCGCTTCGGATCCCGCCCATCCGACGCATCATCAAGGGGCCGCTTGCCGCCCGTAACGCCCACAGCCTCCATCCCACCATCAAGCGACCCAATCCCCATGAACGACTCGCCATTCACCAGATTCTGCAGTATAAGCGTATACTGCTCATCCGTGAGGCCCATCCCCGCAAGCGGGTTGATCTTCCCGTCGTCCTCGCCGAGCGGAGTGAGCCCGAGCCCGCCGCTGTTCGCCGCGGCGGCGTTGACCTGCAAAGTGAGCGCCTGGTCAAAGTTGGGGTCCGAGAGCGGTGGGATGCCCACGCTGCGTGGGACTTTTTGCATCGTCTGGATGACCTTGAGGTGCATAAGGTGTTTCTAAAAAATCACCACAACGCCATCAGCACCGCATACACACCGAAGAACGAGAAAACCGACCTCGAGCATCTCCAAGAGCCCATCCTTCGTGAACGGCTTCGGCAGAATATCATTCATCCCGGACGAATAATACTTGATAATCTCATTCGGCTTCGAATTGCTCGTCATCGAAATGATCGGCGTCATATGGTCAAACTGGCGAATGAGCGACGTCGCGCTCACACCGTCCAACTTGGGCATCACGATATCCATCAACACCAAATCATACTTTTCCAAATTCATCTTGTTCACCGCGCCGACGCCGTCCACAGCCACGTCGATCGTGCACCCAAACACCTGCAAAAACTTGCTCGAGAGCCGCCGCGACACCGCGTCGTCGTCCACCAGCAGCACGCGGGGCGGGACCGCCCACCCGGGGACGTACGTGCTCCGCCGCACGCGCAGCTTCTGTGCGCTCCCAGGACGCGTGCTCGGGCCCGCCTCGCCAAACGCAGGCGCCGCGCTGCTCGATGCAGCAGCCGCAGCCGCAGCCGCACCAAGCGAGTACGGGCCCTTCGGGCTCCCCTCGTCCTCCTGCTCAGGGTCGCCGCCCATGCCCTGCGGCGTGGGCATCACGACCTGGTTAAGCATGTTCGCGTCCATCGCCCAATTCCCGTTCTCGTCCTCGAGCGTGCTCTTCGGCATCAGGTGGCCCACCGTGAACACCTGCAAGCCCTCATGCGACAGGCTCTGCTGGCCATAGGCCCCGACCGCGCCTGCGCCGAGCAGGAACGCGTCGGGGTCAAAGCCCGTCGTCTCAGAGGAGGTGCCCGTGGAGGTGGACGCGCCAGTCTGTGAGGTCGTCCCCTGGGTTTGACCCTGGCCTTGAGCTGATGCGGGCCGCTGGCGTGATAGCTCCTCAATCCTAGCGAGCGCATCCTGACGGGACATGGGGCGCACAGGCGCGTCGCCGCCCAAACCCGCCGCAGCGGCCATGATCCTCGACATGCTCCCCGCGGGGGTCTGTGCGCCTCTCGAGCTCGACGCCCCCGCGTTCCCACTGCCCGCGCCAGCGTTGTTGGCGCCCGCAGCGGGCGGGGCAAAGGACATCCCCGCGACCTCGGCACGTCGCGAGATCTCGTTCATCTGCGCGAGGGACGCGCGCGCGACGTCGCCGTCGGGGTAAGCGCCCATCATGCGTTGGGCCTCGGTCGCAGGGAGGAAAGGGTTCGCGTCCTGGAACGCACCGCCGCCGGGGTTGTTCGAGGCCGAGAGCTCTTCTGCCTTGACTTTGCCTGGACCGCGGTGGGTTCATGATGATGATGGGAACATTACGGAGGGCGGTTCCAGACAGACAGAGAGTGAGAGTGGATGTTATGGACGCACGGGCGGGGCCAGGCGGGGCGAGACCGCGGTGTCATCAAGGTTTGGCGTTTTCCAGCGAGCGATTGATTTCGGGTCCGGAAGAAGTGAAGTTTCGTTTTTTTGATTAGGGCGATGATTTGGATTATCGAGTCGAGAGGAAATATTGCGACAGCGAGAGCGAGAGCGAGAGAGATTTGTGATACAACATAGTGTGCAATGCGGGCAACATGTAAAAAAAAAGGGGGAAGAAGAGAGGATCGCTTAGTGTCCGGTTTCGCTCATGTACTATTAAATGATCCCCCACCATTCTCGAGCTGCAAAAAGTACTGTATCAAGTTCTGCATCAACCCGTCCTGCTGCGCCATGTTGCGCTGGAAGTTGACCATCTCGCCGAGCACGTTCTGGTAGTTGGTCTCGAGGTTGCGCACGTGTGCGACGAGCTCCTCCTGGTCGCGCGTGAGCCGTTCGAGTTGCGCCTGTAGCGCTTCGACGGTCGCGTTGGGCGGAGAGGGCGAAGACGGATTGCGCGCGTTGGATTTGCGCGCGGCCGGCACCTTGCGCTTGATGTTCTCGAGCGCATCTCGCCGGTCTACATGGAAGTCGGGATGCCGGAACGTCCAACTCTGCGAAGCACGGAGGATATTAGCATGGAGCGTTCGGAGGTTAGAATGCGCGAGGCGCTGGTACACACGTGTTCGCCGAACTGATTGTCATCGGAGTTCTTCACCTACGTGGGAGCGCCGTCAGGAACGCGTCGGAGACAAAGGCAAGGATCGCGCGCACCTTGTGAAAGTCGTACTTGTTCAGCTGTCGGACGAAGGATGCAAAGTTGGAGTGCTTGAACATGCGGGGCAGGATGGACTTTGTGAACTCGTTCATGTCCTTGACGACAAAGCAGTCGCCCTGAGGGCCCCACGAAACGACGTGCGACCACGACGTGTCCTCGAGCATCCTGATCGCATATATGCTTAGGAATCAACCAGAGCGTGTCACGGGTACTCACTTGTACAGCTTCTTGACAAAATCGCTTGTGGATGGCATGCCGTCCTCGCCCTCATGCTTGACGGCGTGCTCCTGCTGTGGAGCCGGAGCTGGTTGCCGGTCTTCGCGCTCCATGCGTTTAGCTGGCCTCGAGTCAGACAGGGGTCGTAGTGGTGGAGAGAGCTCGTCGCGCGAGCTGCTGGTGCGCGAGGGCCAGGGGAGTGTAGACGAAGAGGCGAGGGGCGGGGGCGGGAGCTGAGCTGCGGTGTTGGAGAGCGAGGGGTGTGGGTAGGTGGGCGGGGGGTATCGTGCATTCGAGGGGAGGTGGGAGATGGGGGGGAGGGTGTTGTTGCGGGCGAAGGAGGAGAGGTGGAGGGAGGAGGGCGGGGGGAGTTGGGGGGACTGGAAGAGCTGCTGGCGCTGCTGCTGATACTGACTAGACTGGTCCATTTTAGGCGGGAGATCGAGGCTGAGGGGAGTGGAGGATAGGATCGACCGCGGGGGCCAGGTGCTTGTTGGCGTGCAGATTTCAGAGCAAGTCTATATGCAATCGTCCCTCTCCGCCAAATACGTAAATACTCCCACGCCCCCTCCCATATCCTCTCCGGAATTCCCCTTTTTTGCTCCATCGATATTGGTATTTCCCCGACGCACGCCCTCCCCTCGCCGTCCCCTGCCCTCCGAGGGCACTATCGACCTCATCGACGCCGTCGTTGCAGCCCGCGTCCGCGGGAGCGCAGGGATCGCAGCGACGAGCGTCTGCGGATCAGAAAAGGCGACTGGTCTAGACCCATCTGCTCGCCCGCAGGAGGGTCTGGACCGTGCTGTGGCTGACAGCCTATGTGCCTGGGCCACGGCGATTGAGCAGGTACTCTCCCGCCTTCCACAGATCCCTCTCCACTCCGCCAGATCGATCCGTCCCAACTCCCGAGTGGCCGCCCAACATTTCAGACATTTCCCGCCCTTTGGCCCATATTGGATCGCCACGTGCACACCACGTTGCTCGGTCCGTGCCCTTCGCACTCTCCGTCCGTCGCCTACCGAGCAACATTATCGTACATACCAGTTACATCACAGACGAGCATCGTACGCTCGGTCCCGACGCCTGTCCAGACCGTTCTCGTCGCCTTCCTCCGCTAACTCGAGCGCCATGGCGCCAATCTCCCGGCACACGGCCGCGCCGGCGCCCCGGTCCGCGCCGCATTACTCCTCGCCACAGCCAGCAACCCGAGCCTCGCCCCAGACCGCACACAACCACCTCCCACAACCCAGCCCAGACCCTCCTCCGAGCCGCGCAACTCCATTCACGCTCACGATTGACTTTCGCCAGTGCTGCTGCCAGCCCGCACACCACCACCAACAACGGAAACTCCGCCCACTACAAATTCGAGTGCGTCATGTGAGCGCACGGACGCGCCTGGCTCACGCCACTACAAATTCCCGCACGCGCACGCGTCATCGCTCTTCGCACAAACAAATTCGCCTCCTGTCGTGATGCGATGTCCATCGTCCGACTTGGATATCGTCATTGCGTCGCGCGCGAGATGCTCCTGAATAGCGAGTGGAGAAATCCTGCGTCGTGCGCGAGGGATTTCGCTATGGCTGAGCCGCCAGCTTGTGCTCACTGTCGAAGAACGGGTGCGTTCTGGACGGCTCTTGCGTTGCTTCGCGTACCTCAGCGAACGAGCGTCGGGTCGTCCGTGTATTGTACCACCCATCTATTCTTGTAGTGGCGGTCTGTCTAATCCAGTACACACACCAAGCGCCGGTCCAGACCCGGACCTGTCACCGGAGGCGTCTCTGCAATGATCAGCGTTCGCCTCTTTCGGTCATCCACGCATCAAGCCTCTCCTCCGACTCCGACTGCCACCAGTTGCATCGACATGCATTCAATCCGAAATCCACGCAAACCATCATCGGACCCTCCTAAGGTGCCACCGACTGACCCACCTTTGGCCTCTGCAGCCCCCGCCACCTGCGCAGGAGCCAATCAAAAAGCTTCCGTTCTGCGTAACCATAACACAGGATCGCACTTTAGCACCTGTGGGCGCGGGCCAGACTCTCGAGAGCCGTCGAGCCCACGTCGATCGCGGGACCGTGTTAGCTTATCTCAATGGAAGCGTCGTCATCCCGATCGCGCGCATATATGCGTGAGGGTCTGGATCCGGAGCGTGCGGGGTTGCATGGGAAGTTGCGAGATCAAGTGGTGGTGGGAGTGGGAGCACTTGGTCATGATGCATGATGAGTGCGAGGGCGACGTTGGCACGGATACTTGCCAGTTCTTGAGCTTCAATACCCGCGGGTAGCGAAGGCTTGCGAGACTGGCATCTAGCTCTCCAACGGCGCACATCCAAGCATGCAGGCTATCAGAAGTCGGGTATCGAAGTACAGGTCGCCGACCCATTGCACTCGCCTGTATCCTCATCGATCTTCGCCCATCGCCATATGGCTCATAACGCATAATGAAGAGTGTCGTCACCGGTTCGACTCGAGGATGAGATCACACGCACTCTATGAGTGATAGACGTATGCGATGCGATGCGATCGAGACCGCCGGGTGGGAGGGCAGCCCATGGGTCGCCGGGTTCCAGACTCGGACTGGTTGGGTGCTGGTAGGACGGCGTGTGGGATCCTGGGACCCTGGTGGTCTGGTCTGGATGGTACAGTTTATCCTTGCGTGCAATGGAGAGACTATCGGTGCATCGCCTGCTAACACTGTGCGTCGACCAGTCGATCGATCGTCAGCATCCCATCAAGCCACAATGATAACCACGACACGCGTCGCACCGCATTCCACCCTCCCTCCATTAGGCAAGAAAACAGACTTGCACGCCGGCCGGCAGAGCGCGTGGCGTAAGGACGCAGCAGAACATCGCTCGCTCGGCATGTTCCGCTCAATTTCGTGTTCTGGGTGAGGCGTTGCACATTAATTGCGGGGAAACTGCGGCCTGTATGGAGTGCGACCGCGCGATCGAGGCGTGTAGCGTGAAGTTCTCCGAGCTGGGACGGAACACCGGTACCGTGCGTGCACCATCCGGGACTCCTGGTCTGCGCGCTGAGTACTACTAGTGCTGAGGTTGAGCTGTTATCACAATTGGATTTCTGATCTTCTGCATACCAGCGTTCAGATCTCAGTTGGATGGACTGCCCCGAATGCGGCCGCTCTACTCGCCACGGGCGCATGATCGCTTCCTGCGGCTACGGAGTCCGGTGCGGACCTTGCCCGAGAACGAACGTGCCCTCGCACCTTCAGAATGGCGACGCGGTGACGTTGTGCGTGTGTGCTCCTGTGGGGCTCGCGAAGCTCGGACTCTGGACGGACCCTGCCGGCAGCCTCGGACCTCGAAGCTTCGAAGCCTCGATGGACGGGTATTGAGTATTGAGTGCGAAGTGGAAGTGGAAGTGCGGTGGAGGAACCCCATCGTGTCTGGTGCTTGGAATTGGCACGCTCGTCGCTCGCTGGAGTCTGACCAGGTTCATCCAGAGCCAGAGGTCGCTGTTTGAGGGCCTGAGGCCCGAAGGTCTGAGGAAGGGATACGCTCCATTCGCTATGGAGCCGCCTTTCGAGTCGAAGGATCCTTTTCGCATCTTCAGCGCACGTCCGTGTGCAGGAAGAATCTCCTCTTTTCGAGTTCATCCTGAAGTCCAACTTCCAGGGTCTGTGGAGCGGCTTCGCGGTTTCCTTCGAAGCATTCGAACCTTCTCTCATCCTCCTCCTACCAATTGCGCGTGCCACTGCCACTGCGGGTGTGTCACCACCCGGTAGGACGGCGCGTGTAGTTACGCATGCCCGGTCAGGAGGTCCGGCCACTCCGAGGCGCATGACGTGCCAGCTGCAGCTGCGCGATTTCCAGGACCGCTGCAGAATGCAGATGGATAACGATAAGGACTTCGCGAACAGGAGAGCGGGTTGCCTCTGCCCGTCACCCCTACTTACGTACCTACCTTCATCCTCAGACGTTGCAAGTGGGTCTTGTTCCGTATCCGTGTGCGGTGCGATGGGCGCGGACGGACTGAGGCGCTCCTTGCGATCACAGGGCTGAGCGCTGAGCCGTATCCTCCACATTCTCTTCTACCACTCCCCACCGCCGATCTCCTCGCGCTCCTGTCTTCTACTTGTGCATGTGCATGTACGAATTTGACGTGCGAAGCGAATGTGACTTTAGCGATCGCGTGGTGGCGTGCGGTGCGATGATGATGACGATGACGGAGGAACGTTTGGCGGTTCAATTCCGGTCAGTGCAAGGGCGTGCCTTGCTTGTTTGTGCATGTAAGACGTCCGATCCTGTGATGCGGTTGGCCCAGATAGTTACTGGGAGCGCTTGGGGGTCGCCAAGAGGCATGATCAACGCGAGGTGTGTGGCTGGCGGGCGTTGTCTTGGGTACTTTGGAGTCGCAATAAAGAGCTGCACGGCAACATGTTCAATGACGGTGGATGCTCACCATGTACGCGACAAGGTGGTTCGTGTAGTTCGTCGCAGTGTCCTCCTCGCTCGCCATGCGCTGCGGCGCTCCAGCTGCGGAATCCTGCAGGGTTTTAAGGAACAATGTGTTAGCGCATTAGATTAGTATCGTGAGAGCGCGTACCTCTGGCATAGATAGATTGGAAAAGATACGTATGATGGCCAACTTCAACACAACATACAATCGCGCGTTGGCTGGCGATTGGACAGCTAGTCGGCACCAAGTGTTCGGTTCCCAGACGCGTACATAGTGATGCCGATAGATCTCGGCACAGCATTTGAAAGCGTATCTGACTGAGCATAAACGAGCAACAGTAACTGTACGGCATGCAATGATTAACGAGGTGGTTTCGCGATCAAACATGATATCGTACTTACTTTGGTCCAAATTGGCTCGGCGAGCGACACCGACAGCCCGTCCTTCGATAGACAACATTGGTCGCCGCACAGATAGCCTTATTTCAGTCTAAATCGTACACTGCCAGTGAGCTGTGATGTTCCGTGGGATATCGCATCTGTGAAATGCATGATCCGCACCATCCACCGTGGCTCTGCGTCTGTATCGTTTCATGGCATGGCAGCTCTTGCGTGAGCATCCGTCGTCGATGGCGCAGCCGTTGAGTTTCTGCATCTGAGTGGGACAAGGTGTCGGTATCCTGCATAAGGAGCGGTCAAACATGGCGGGGACAAGGAACGACGGGAAACAATCGCTCGCACGTTCTACTGGGAAGGACGGACCGCGCTACATCTTCCAAACTTTCCTTGTATCTTAAATAAGAGTCTCAGGGCACGACGCCAGCGAAAGTACAACCCAACGAAGCGCCTTACTCCACACACGCCTCCAAGCCCAGGGCATATCACAGAGCCGCAAGGATTTCACAGAGCCGCAAGGATTTCACAGAAGCCCAGCATGAGAGCAAAGGGAGAAAAGCAAAGGTCGCCCGCTGCACCGCCCCAGATGCTCTCATAACATAACAGCTCGCCCAGACGCCCACCCGACCTCGACGCTCCTCGACACTCAGGCCAGAGCCAGAGCCAGACCAGAGCCCGCGCGCATTAAAATAAATCAAGTAACGTAACTCCAGTCCGCGGATCTCGCAGCCAGGTGCTGAGATCCGCATCTCATTGCGAGTCCTGAATCTCGCCGTGCCAATCTGGCGTCGCGATGCGCCAGCGGCCCTGAGATGCGGGTCCATACGCCCATGGGCAGTCTTGATACGGTGTTAGCGGGGAGGTGAATGAAGCCTGCGAGTCGAGTCGTTGGGTACCACGTGCGGGTCGAGGCGCTCACGGCCCACTGTCCAGGTCCTGGGAGGCTCTGTTAATGTGTATGCTCATGGGAACCTTGAGAGCTTGAGATCATACGCATGTTCTTCCATGATATGGCTCGAGTGGACCTACTGTTGACAAGGGGACAAATTCTAAGGCCGGCTAGGTAGAGTATCAAAGAAGACACGCACCTATCCAATGGATGGGAAGTACGGGCGTTGATGCACGTTGCTCACCGCGTGGACCGTGTGGAATATTGGTCGCGGATCGGGAGGAGGTGCAACCTCACCGGGACAACTGCTGGCATGGCGCATCAATACGTGTCAGCGAAGTAGCAAGCGTTCTTCTATTTCGACGTAGACAAGGATGAACGCATGGATAATGGAAAACCTCCTACCGGGAATCGTGATAGTACTTGGGATTGTACGGGCGCTTCAGCCAACCGCAATCAAAAATGTTCGTTCGGTATACTTTACATGGGGCAGGCAAGTGTCTTTGGGACAAATCAATGCACAGAAGGCGATGAGAAATTGCATAGAAATTGTGCATATACCATGAGGGTGTGGTGTACATAGGCAAGACATGAGGGATCCATAAGTCGATGCAGGTTTCATACAAGCTGATCATATATTGAGATCAAATCGGAGAGAGCTAAGAGCAAATTAGAAGGCTTACGTCATAGGCATAATTGCAGATGGCATATTCCGCTCACTCATGTGCTGTTAACCCATCACACACCGCCTAATCGGAGCCCAGGTACTTGAAATCCCCAACACACAACTGTTTGTTGTTTTTCAGATGTCTCGCAAGCGCATCCCTACGGCTAAACCCACCCATACACCCACCCACCATCCGCACCCCCTTCCACACATTCGGATAATCATAATTCTTCACGAGATATCGCGCCGCCTGCGCCTCAGGCACACCACGGCATACCCACTGCGACGCGGACCCGCCCTTGCTCGCGCGCAGGTGCGTCTCGACGTGCCGGAGCATGTCCTGTGGGCGGAAACGTTTCTGCACGAACCCGCAGGCGACGGGACACTTCGGGGAGCGGGAGGACTCGACGCGGGTGCGGGCGGCGGAGAGCTGTTCGGGCGAGAGTGCGATCTGTGCGTTGCGTGGAGGCGCGAGACGCTTCGGGGAGTTGGGTGAACTCGGAGATGAGGATGGTTTGGAGGGAGAGGACGAGAGCGATGTTAGCGAGGATAGGGATGACGATGACGATGCGGACGCTGAGGAGAAACTATACACCAGCTTGGTGGACCGGCGAGGTGTTTTCTGAGGCGAAGACGTCACGTTTCTGGACCTACGAGGCGTTTTCGGAGGTGACGATGTGGAAGAGTTCGGAGGCATTATGAGGTCCCGGTTCGAAGATGGAGTACGAGGATAAGGCTGGAAATGTTTCTTGCGTGGTGTCGTACGCAAAGTCGGGAGAAACTCATCATCACTTTCTTCCTTGATTTTCTCGTCTTCCGAATCAGACTCTTGGAGACATTGACGAAGTCGCACTGCGGCACGTCGATGGCTGACTCTGTGCACAAAGTCTTGCTGAGTGGGGACCGCCAAAGGGGATGGACCTCTTGAGCGCATAGGCATACGAGTAGACGATTCAGAGGTGCACGTCCCACTAGAAGAGATTAATTCTGCTTGCGAAGCGTTGATGGCAGCAACGTTCACAGGATCGTTTTCACTTATGGCATGCTCTCCAGAGCTGAGGTCAACAGTGATTAGGACATGGACGAAACTGAACCAATAATCTCACATACCCTGCTGGACAGCATTCAGCTGATTTTTCTCGTACCTGTTCATCCTCTTGAGCTACACCAGTGCCCGATTCAGAGCTAGAATCTGAACTGGTGTCCGAGCGATCACTAGACCCTGACCGCGCATCAACACCAGAACCTGAGCTGGATTTGGAGCAAGCCGGTGATGCACGAGATATCGCAGGAGAAAATATTGCAGCTGGACAGATTCCCTGACTTTCAACCTGTTGCTCCTCCGAACCGTGATTCTCCGCGAACAAACCATAGCGATGAGCATAGAACGCCGCGCGGAGGACGGGTAAAGAGGACATAGCGTGAGCTCGCTATGGAAAGCGAAAATCCATGGCTGGACATGGCTGGCACACTGGCAGGATTTATACGCGCAGGCGACTGCATCGATGGTGACCGCGATGAGTGGCTGAAGTAGAGAGGGGAGTGGCATTTAGCGCCGAGAAAAGGAACGGATCACCTCGTGGCCGATCGTCCGATCCGATGGAATCCCTTATCAGGAAGGTTTCTAGCCGGATTTGGACGGAAACTTCATTGTCGACCGTTTGCGTGCGTTGGGCCCGTCGCCCCGCGAAACTGAAATTGCTAGTCCGAGTGGCATCGAGTGCCACTGGATGCGGCTCGCTTAGAGGATAAGCGACACGTGTAGCGCACTTCCGATTTTGAACCGTAGTGATTGCGACAAACTGGAGGACCAGTCGACCATTGTTCGCGTTTTATATATCAATCGTTCACAACTTTTCCCCACGTAGTGTACTACGCGTCATCAATGCTATGCTATGCTATGGGTTGTGACGGCATGTCACAGGACGAGATGCGTGACGCAGCCACGAGCATCTTGTTCTGCGACTCTCATCTTCTCTCTCGCTAGTACCCACGAGTTGTCTACACTTTCTCCCCATCCACCCTCTCCCTCTGGGCCTTTGACTAGATCTGCTCCTGTTCTGCGATCCGTCGCGCAATTTGCGCCGAGGCGGACATTTCTTGCGCTCTTTGTTCGAAACATCTCAGGTCTCAGGCCCCAGGACGCCGCTGGCAGTGCGGGGCCAGGACATCCCACGTCCGGCCTATCCCACCACGACATTGCCCGGATTTACGGTGCAGTACAGCTCATCTGCTTATATCTCAGCGTAGTCTCAAGCCATAGACAGCCATGCACGACTTTCATGCTTAAAATCATCAAGCGACAGCGTAACGAAAGATGGACGGACGGACAAAGAGATGGACTATATAATTTTCTGAGACTTTCGATCAATGATCGAAACAGGACCACGCGCAAGTAATGCTAGCAAAAATAAAAGCATAGAAATCGGAATCTAGAGCATCTGGAATAGCAGCAAACACACGGATGAGAACATACCGGGCGCCGACGAGTCCATGAGTACCCACAGAACATTTTGGAACGCGAAGAAGGCATCCTCCATACAAACATATGCGTGTTTTACTTGATCAATCGACTTTTATCGCCGGCTTCCTTTACCAGATCGAGCCAAAGTTCTTCTTCATGGATGAGTCCGCTCGGCTTCGTTTCCGTCGAATGATCCCAATCCATGACAATCTGCACCATCGGCTCCTTGTCAACGATGTACACCTTCATGGGGGGTAGCTGTGCGCCCTCGAGATTCCTTCTAATGTTCTCCTTGGTTCTCCGAATGAAATGCTGTCGTGCTCGCTCCCATATCTGCGAGTCAGACTCGTCTTCCTGTCGCGCTAGATCGTCGACGATATTCCGAATGTGCTGGTTTGCCTTGGAGCGGACGATGAAGGCAGGGATCCTGTACAATTTGCAGTTCCTGAGGATGGCGATGTCCGTCTCCGTGAAGCGCGTGTCGACGAGGACGATAACGGCATCGAAGATGTACATGCCCTGGTCCTTGAAGTACGTCCACTCTGGGACAGTGAGCGAGCCCGCACCTGGAATGTCATACCAGGCGAATGGGAGATGCATAGCGGTGTTCTGGTCGACGTAGCGTATGGTCACACTGGTCTTTTCCATGATGCCAGTTGGGGCCGAGCCCAATTCGTTGTTGCGTAATCCCCGGAGGGCGTTCAGTAAGGAAGATTTGCCGCTACCCGGTACGCCAGCGACAGCACAATGGAAGAAACCTTCTTCGTATTTCAGTTCTCTTTTCTTCCTCTCCCTTTCATCTGCAGAGACGGCCAGCCCGACAATTCGGGGGCTCTCTCGCGAGGCAGCGATGCTCCGCGAAGCTTCTGTGCACGGTCTCGTTTGGTCAATCTCCGAACCTACTCCTCGGACGTCGTCGTCGATGAGCCTTTCGTGGCCAGTCGTTGTTACTTCCGATGGTATCTTGTCTTGGGCATTTATGGACATCAAAATCGAAGTAAAACGGCCTTTTATCGAACGCCCGACTGCTTTGAGACTATCCCCCGCTATCTTCCACAAAAAGGAGTGCGCATCAGCTTGATCTTGCGACATCGCGAAGTGGTGTCCTCGCCAGAAAAAATGCCTATGTGCCTGTATAAATTATAATGTTTACTTTAGCTAATGTCATTCAAAGGTGAGAGTATCACGAACTACCCAATGATATGCGTTATTCACCTGGCTTCAAAAAGTTATAGTCATGGGGAGCGGAGAGAGCGTTGAACGCTGCTGACCGCTCCCTTTATTTAAATATGCCCATCTTCCGCCCTGCAGGTATTATCAAGGGCAGAAGCCCTTCTAATCGAGAAGGATCGATCAGCGCGTGACATGTCTGAGCCGAGAGGCCAGGACACCAGCGCCTTACGCTGTTCAAATAAAGCGCTGATTCTGCCGCGCAAGCAAGGTGTCCCGCGGTGTTTAATGGCACAGGAGACGGCGGCCGTCGGAATCTCGAACAGGCCTTGTAGACGCAAGCACTTCTGCGCATGTCAAGACCCGACGAAGGAGACATATTACAGCGAAAGGTAGTCTACCAAACTCATGGCAAGTCTGCGAGGGCAATGGCATGAAGTAGAATCAGAGGCCACAACGCAATTCTTCGGTTGCCTATCACGAGTTTGCGAACACCGTGCTCTTGTCACTCGTCAAAACTGTCAGAGAATACGGGAAGGCAAGACTGTGGCAGCGCTTAATGCAATACGGACGAAGATGGATTCGAATACATGAAAAGTGAAATATTCTGACTTGTGAGACACAATGATCTGCGAGCACGAGAACAGCGCATGCTTTTGAAGAGGCAGACTGGTCAAAAAAGGGGATTGTTATCGAAATGAAGCACGCTGACCGACCTGGCCTTACGCAATTCCAAGTGCGATTTTGGCACGGGTAACCAGGCTTCGCAATAAGTCCTGTTCGTCAATGAGCTCTTCGGGTTGCGCGTGTGACACGACTTGCACTATCGTCTGCTTGTCGACGAGGTAAACTGGCTGGCGAGGGAGTCTCGCCAACTCCAGGTGATGATTCACCTTCTCGCGAGTTTCCTCGATGTACTGCTGGCGCGCCCGAACCCGCCGCTGAGCCTCATCGTCGCCTTCCACTGGTGGCATGTCATCGACGAGATTTCGAATGTGCTGTCTCGACTTGGACCGAACGATGTATATGGGTATCTTGAACCGCACGCAATTTCTGATGATTGCGAGGTCCTTCTCGGTGAAGCGACTGTCGAACAAGACAATGATAGCATTGAACACGTAGAGGCCTTGATCATTGAAGTATTCCCAGTCAGGGACGTCCAGCGTTCCCGTGCCTGGAACGTCGTACCAGACAAGACGATTCGCTGAATTAGGATCAGGGTAGCGGGTCACTGCACTCGTCGTCTCCGTAATATCCGCTGGCGCTGCACCAGGAGAATGATTGCTGAGACCACGGAGGGCATTGATCAACGATGACTTGCCGCTGCCCGCGCAACCAGCAACGGCAATGTGGAAGACGCCCTCTTTGAACTGATATTCCATTTTCTTTTGGTCGATCTCGGTTACTGTAACATCGACGATGGGCCTGACATCGCCATCGAGGCGTTCGAGCTCCAATTCGGCACGCTCCAACGCCGTTTTTGTTTGCGCTGCTTTCCTTTCCGCGGCCTCTCGGGCCCTTGGCTCTCGCTGCTGCACAATCTTGGCCTCTTCCACTGACTCCACAAGTCGATCTCTCTCCGCTTCTGCCTTCAGTTTTTCCTCTCGATCCCGTTTTGCGTCAGCATCTGCTCTGTTCTTCAACTCCTCCGCCAGTTGGATCGCCTTTCTCGCCCACTCGTCTGCCTCGGGCCGAGACTGTGGTTGGCCCATTCAAAAATCGTGCAGGCGTAGCCTCTGCAGAAACATTGAGTGAAATGGAATACCTTGGTCAATACGGTAACGAAAAAGGGCCCAGTAAAACTGCGTACGTACTAAAAAAAGAGGAGGCGATGAGGGAGGGGAGGCTTGAACCGATGTGCTGTTATGAGACGTGGAGCATCCGCATGGCAGCTGCGGCGAACCTTCCTGTTGAACGTCCGCTGAGTTAGAGAGGCGCCGGCGGCGGATAATTTCGAGAACCTGATGTATGGCCTACGGCGCATGTCATCAAATAGATGGGACATAGGGAATAAGAGAATGTGCTGCCTTATTCCTGTCAGAAGGGGAGGGGGAAACTCCGGGCTTGCGTCTACAGGTCAGCGTCAGGCGAACTCAAATCCCACTTGGGACAATTTCATCTGCTTGCCATCAGCAAAGAAGACAGTAACTTTCAAGAACGTCTGAGGACCTCCCTGTTTTGAACTTTTTATTGGCTTGCACCATTGCACGAGCTAAAATCAGAGAGAACAAGTCGAAAGGGAGGTTCTCAAGCCACAAGCACAGTTGCCTGAGGAGGATTGATCAGGTCCATTTCTGGCAAGTCTCAAGTTGCGAGCCGCAACTCGCATGCTTTTCGGCTCAGGACGCGAGATCGCCAACGGCCCGGAAGTTGGGGGTGAGGCCTTGAGGCCTCATGAGGCTTTGATCAATCATCCTCCAAAAATTCTGCGAATTATTCATGAACATTTGCTCACTACAGGCATGCAACATCGCCTCCGTCACTACGCTGAAAGGCGCGGGAGATGAGCGCGAGGGTCCACTATGTCTATGACAGCACTTAGTGTGAGCGCTCAAGCGCTCAAGGACGGCGGGACTTGGCGCCGTTCAACCAAGCGTCACGTACTCACGCTGAGGACACGAAAACTTGTGACTTGCAACTCGAGACCTTCGACCAAAGTCTCAAATTGCAAGGACCTTACCCTTCTCGGCAACCATATACTGCTCTTCGAAAGCTTCTAGGTCAAAAGCCCACGGTGCTCCCACGTCGATAAGACATGGAAGAGTTCTCAACAAAACGTATGCCCCGCTGCGGGCAAACAGATGCCTAAGTCGTAGCTATCGCCCAACGCCTGTTTGGACAAAAATCTCAGCTAGTATGTCAAGATGAGACATGCACTCATCGTTTGGTTATGGTCCCTGATTTGTATATCCCCTTCGCTCTTTCCCTCCAGGACATCCCATAACCGCTCGTGATGGTGCGTTCCTCTAACCGTCACAGCATGATGGTCTTCGCATTTCATAACGAGCTGCAGCCATGCGGAAGTAGAGATTGCACACAAATTTACACGCTGGCGTGGGTTCTAACGTCGCAGTACTCCCATCGTGGCAAGAAGTATTGAAATGAACTGATGCGACACACCTCACGATACCATATAATATGCGGCCGAGCGACCGGTAAGACCTACCTGGAAAACCAGGAACAATCATAAAAAATCCGATGAAATGACGCACAACGCAAACGGAAATAGAGATATATTCGCAGATAGACGCAGGATGGAGCAGGTTTCTTGTGCGTTAACTCGAACAGACGCCAGTCAGACGAGGAAACTACATGCCGCAATTCTGCATGAATCCAGTATATAATCGGCTCACTTGGCAGATCGTCTCTTCTGCGTTTCCGTTTTGAGATCTTGCAGCAACTCGGATTCATCGAGTAGATCCGTTCTTCGCTCCTCCTTTACCACCTGCACCATCATCTCTTTGTCGACAATGTAGACACGCTGGTTTGGCAGCTGCGCAAGCTCCAAATTGCGACCCACACTCTCGCGAGTCTCCGAGAGATACTGCTGGCGGGCCCGCGCCAACAACTCCTCATCACTTTCGTTCTCGCCCTGTTCCAGATCGTCCGCGAGGTTCTGGACGTGCTGTGTCGACTTCGAACGCACGACGTATGCAGGAATGTTGAACCGCGCGCAATTCCTCAGGATCGCGATGTCCGTCTGGGTGAACCGAATGTCGAAGAGAACGATGATGCAATCAAAAACATAGAGGCCTTGAGCGTTGAAATACACCCAATCGGGGATATCCAACGTGCCTGCACCGGGCATGTCGTACCACACGAAGGGATTCTCGGGATCAGGGTCGGGGTATCGAGTGGGGATGCTTGTCGTTTCGATTATGCCAGCGGCGGCAGCGCCTCGATCACTGTTGCGCAGACCACGGAATGCGTTGAGCAGCGACGACTTGCCGCTGCCCGAGACGCCGGCGATGGCGAAATGGAAAAGACCCTCTTGATACTGGAGGACCCTCTTCTTCTGCTCCATCTCCTCCGGAGTTGGGACGATTATGGGCTTGATACCCTCCCTCAAGTCTTTCTCAGCTTTCTCCAGCGCTGCCTGCGCTTCCGCAGCTGCCTTCTCCGAAGCTTCTTTGGCCCGCTGCTCTGCTTCTTGCTCCGCACGCGCCCTTCTAGCTTCCTCGTCAGCCCGTATCCTCTCCGCTTCTGCCCGCTGCCTCTCCTCCTCTGCGCGCCGTCGGAGCTCTTCCGCCTGGCGCTTAGCCTCTTCCGCTTGTCGCATCGCTTCTTGAGCTCTCCTGGCAGACTCTTCCGCCGCAAGTCTCGCCTGCTCTGCAGCGACTCTCTCTGCCTCCCTTCGCCTAGCCTCTTCCTCTGCTCTGATGCGCTGCTCTTCGGCTATGCGCCGCTGTTCCTCCTGTTGCTGTCTTTGGGCTTCCAGCCACTGCTGATGCGCTCGGGCAGCCTCGGCTTCCTGCTGCTGAGCCCTGACGCGAGCCTGCATCTCCGCCATTCGGCGCTCGTGTTCATGGTGTATAGACGAAGACGAAGAGTTGCCCATTGTTGATTATCACAGAGTATGAATCAATAGCTCAATGTAGGTTCGAGCGTCGAGTTGATACTGAGTGCTGCAATATTTGATGTCACTACAGAAGCAGACCGGAAGATATGAGGTACGTACTGCAAGAGGTCGTCAGCGACGTAAGGGAGAATGCTGAGTGCGCGAGGTACGTGGCCGTCGTCCCTTTGTACCTTTGTATTGTGAAGACAATCTTCATCCACGCTACATCATGCGTAAACGCTTGCACGAGGATCCGGCGCTTTGGACCGTTCACGATACAGAATTGGTTATTTTGAATGACACAGCCGGTCGAATGCAGGAAGCGAAGCGAAAATTGGTATCCGTGTGCGCTACGGCACTATCGCAGTCGTCACCGTGAAAGAACGATACGGCCGGAGTGGAAGGCGAGGCTTGAAGATGTTGTACGCTTGATCGCACAGGCGAGAAAAAACAAATCAAAAACACCATGGCAGGATCTGGATTTGGACGTCGTATCTTCCAAAACAAGGAACGAAGTCCTGGCATTCTCGTCATCCAACGGCGAACAGAGCTGCATGCACGAAACAATTCATCCGTCCCCTGCAATGTGGATCAGACCACAGAAGAGAAGTGATCCTCACTTCGGACGCCGTCCGCTGTGCAAACCTAAAATTTCTGCGCAACCGATACGGTGGAATGAGTTCGAACCCCAAACCAACCTTGAGGCCAGAACTATGATAGTCCATGAGTTTGCCTCGCTTACAATGCATGCGAATGTAATGCATACAAGCTTTCGTTGGGATAGCATGCACCCACTAGATTGTTTCAAAGTATGCCTGTGATGAAGAAGTACGTAAACACGTCATCGGAGACACCGTAACGTCATTCAATCTGTACCGGGGCTGGTCGGATAGGCACGTGGTTGACGCTGCGTCCTATTCCCTATTCGAGTCGCGCGCCACTACCGCCGCAGCCGCCATCCTCATTCACAATCATGGCCGTGTTCCCCTCGCGACCTCTCAAGTCACATTCAATCCATGCACTGCTCCGGAAGCACCCATCTGTCTTTGGCATCCCCTTCTTGATGATCATCGTCGGGGCATCATTCGCCATGCAAGGCTTCACGCAGACGCGGTACGACCTCCATGCCCAGAAGGTCTCACAGGTACGCAGCATGCTCGCAGATCGTGTTCAAAATGCTGATTCTCCCGTCATTCCTGGTCAATTTTGCTGCGAAATGCTCATGACACAGCTGAACAAGGAGCAAGAGCTTGGCCTAAGAAAGAGCCGAAAGAAGTTCGATATCAGGGAAGAATACTATGTGCGCTGTGTGCTTTCAGTTTATTCACTATGCCCTTCTGACGCTATCAATCCCGCAGCGATTGAGCACGGCCAAGGATGACGACTGGGAAATCATTCGCGTCCCACGTCCAAAAGGTCTCCCGGAATGGGGCGTGCCCCCGCCCGAGCCGCCTGCTAACGCGGACAAGGCTTGATTATTCTCTCTTCCTTATTTTTTTGCCGCTCGCCGGAACTCATGCCCGGTGAGCGTACTTGTCAACGGAGGTTCGCACAGTAGGCAACACGGAAAATCACTGCGCCATGCTCGCTCGTCGTCGTGCTCTCCGCTTGACACAGGGGACGGCAAAGGACCTACATCGTCTTGACAATCCTCGGGCTGTATCGGTCGTAGTATGTCATCCGAGGACTATCGGAAGGGTTTATATGCAACGTCACCGGCTGTATATGTTCCGCCTTCATCGTGAGGGAGGCGGAAGTAGCGATAGGTTGAACAGCGAGGAACGGAGAGTGTGTAGATGTAACATTAGCTGCAGAAAGTAAACAAGGCTTTTTTGTCTTCAAAATACAGCTCGTACGACGTGCCTTGGTTTACGATGATGTGTGCATCTCGCTCCAACCCACGTCAAACGAGGATTGAGAGATCCTCAAACGATACACGAAATGTTACGTGAGCGGAGAGTTGATTGATGAGTTGAGTGCCGACTAGCAGATGATACAACAGATAGCAATGATAGATATACGAAACAAGATGGGGATGATACGTGCGTGATGAGAACACAATGACAACAAAACCCGACATTACCTCTACGTTTTTGTCACGATACTTTTGTGTCTGCAGAAGAGTCACGGAGATGAAAAGGGGGAGGAGGCAGCACCGCCGCGCCGTAGTGCGCCAGCTTAGAAGCCCATACCGCCCATGCCACCCATACCGCCCATACCACCCGCACCACCCGGAGCTGCGTTGTGCTTCTCCTCAGCCTCGACGATGCTCGCCTCACTTGTCGTCAGCAGGCTTGCAACACCAGCGGCGTCCACAAGCGCGGTCCTGACGACCTTGAGCGGGTCGACAATACCAGCCTTCACCATGTCGACGTATTCGCCCTTGCTCGCGTCGTAACCCCAGTTGAACTTGTCCGGACTACCATAGTTCGCCGTCAGGTTACCGACGATCACAGATGCCTCCTCGCCCGCGTTGCTCAGAATCGTCCGCGCCGGATTCGTAATCGCGCGCTTAATGATCTGCACGCCGAGGTCCTGGTCAAAGTTCGCCGTCGGGATGGACTTCGCGTCGGCAGACGACGGGCCGTTCGAGCCAGGTGCCTTCGACGCGAGCGCGAGTGACGCCTTGAGCAGCGCGACACCACCACCTGGGAGGATACCCTCCTCGACGGCAGCGCGGGTGGCGTTCAGCGCGTCATCGTAACGGTCCTTCTTCTCGCTGACCTCGACCTCGCTGCTGCCGCCGACCTTGATGACGGCGACACCACCACTGAGCTTCGCGAGACGCTCGAGCAGCTTCGTCTTGTCGTAGTCGCTCGTCGTCGGGTCGTTAATGAGCGCGCGAATTTGCTCGCAGCGCTGCTGGATAACGTCCTTCGAGCCCTCACCATTGAGGATGATCGTGTCTTCCTTCGTGATTGTGACGGAACCGGTCGAGCCCAGCATATCAGCGGTCATGTGTTCGAGCTTCATGTCGAGCTCGTCCGTGAAAACGGTACTACCAGTGAGGACGGCGATATCGCCCAGGATAGACTTGCGATTGTCACCGAAGCCGGGCGCCTTGACAGCGCAGACCTGGATCTGGCCACGGAGTTTGTTGACAACGCAGGCCGCGAGCGCCTCATTGTCGACGTCCTCGGCAATGACAAGCAGTGGGCGCCTTTGCGAAATGGAGGCCTCAAGTGCCGGGAGAATATCCTGGAGAACGCTGATCTTCTTCTCGCTGAGCAGGATGAGAGGCTTCTCAAACTCGACCTTCTGGCTCTTGACGTCCGTAATGAAGTACGGGCTAATGAAGCCACGGTCAAAGCGCATACCCTCCGTGATCTCAATCTCATCTTCCGTCGTCTTGCCCTCCTTCACGGTGATGACACCCTCCTTGCCGACCTTCTCCATGGCCTGCGCAATGATATTGCCAACATGGCTGTCGCCATTCGCGGAAATGGTCGCGACCTGAGCAATCTCAGCAGTGGTTGTGATCGTCTTCGTGTGCGCAGAGAGGAACTTGACGACAACGTCGACAGCAGCTTGCGAACCGCGGCGCAGATCCATTGGGTTGCAGCCGGCGGCTACGTTTTTAACACCCTCGGAATAGATTGCGCGAGCAAGCACCGTCGCAGTCGTGGTGCCATCACCGGCAATCTCGTTGGTCTTCTGCGCAACGTCCTGAACAAGGCTATTTCACAAGCGTGAGACACGAAAAAAAACGAGTAAGGCACAACCAGCTTACCGAGCACCGAGGTTCTCGAACTTGTTCTCAAGCGAAATGGCCTTTGCGACGGTGACACCATCTATGCAACACAGCATGAGCTACGAGAGGAAAAAAAAACACGAAATATGGAGGGATCCTACCCTTTGTAATCTTGGGGCCTCCAAACGCCTGCTCAATGATAACGTTGCGTCCTGTGAAAGAATAGTCAGACTCATATTCTCGCGGTTTCACGCGTTTTTTTTCATACCCTTAGGACCTAACGTCACACTGACGGCGTCGGCGAGAACGTCAACACCCTTGAGGATGCTTGCGCGACCCTCATTCGAGAACTTGATCTCCTTGTGCGCGCCGCGCGCCAACGACGGCTTCGCGGCCTTAACAGCAGCGCGACGAAGAGCAGAAGAGGATGACTGCGACAGATGGTGCATTTTGAACAGGAAAACGGTCAATGGCGAAGGCAGACGACGAGGAAAAGGGGCTGGATGGCGAGCAACACGCAGAATGCTGGCGAGCGCAGGTGGACCTTATGAAGAATTTGACGTCGAACTATCTAGAATCACGCCGTAACACCTCGATCACACAGTCACACTTTGCATCACGTGGATGAGTTTCGGATCGCATCGGACCAATGACGCGTCGCGTCGCGCGTCACGATTGGCTCTTGCACTTCCGGCCACTCACTATACGAAGCTCGAACTTCCGAATTTTACATAGTGCTCAGTAGTAGCATTCTACCAGCAAGCTTTTACTACGAATTCAAGAGAGCGCATACATTCTCATCCTAGTCAGCATATTCCCATGATCTTCGCCGGCGTGAGGCTTCGGAGTCCGGACTTGTTCTCCCGCTCAGCGCTCAAGCGCTCACCTCTCGAATTCATCTCCTCCAAGGTTTCCCCGCGTCTTTGCACCGTTCGTGAAGACAGTCGGACATTACGAACGGAGAAGAAAAAATCACTTTGAACAAGTGAGGGTCCGTCGCATGTCGCTCGCATGCAAATGCATATTGGTCATGTCTTTTCTTCATGTCTAGACATCGAGCTTGCAAGCCGCCTCCACTGGTGAGCACTTGAGCTGCTGGTGACTAATGGTAAAAACAATGCTAGGCGAGCATCGGACCGCCCTGAAATGTTTTCTTCACATTACTGCAGCGGTTGACTCACGGTCAGAATGTGTGGCTACACCACCTCGTCTGCGAGTCTACAATATTGAGCTCTCTGCCGTGAACACGTTTGCTATGAGTCCATTCGGTCTTGAATACAACGGGTTATCGAGTGATTTATCCATTGGGGGTGGTTACATTGCGAAAAATGTCGATGAGAAGGGTAAGCATTGGTTGACTGTCAGACTCTGTTTGCTTGGAAGTGTGAGCGCACGAGTAAAGTGGGATCCGTATGTGCGTCTATCTGTGAGACATATTAAACAACCTCACCAGTGGTCATTGTGAATGTACCACAATCTGTATCACAGACAACTCTAGATCCTCTCGGACAATCGCTTGTATGCATGACATCGTGAAGTAAAAACTTTCATTCAGTTGCGCCCTGACATTTGAGCGACAAGGATGAGAACGTCGAACGAGTTTCAAGTCGAGGTGTCAAACAGAGCCCATAAGACCAGCACACGTATATGAACTGTTCAGTGATGCGACACTCCTAGTCAATCGGCATAAACGACCAAAGCAGAATGACCTACTTCTTAGGTCTATTCGGTGTCAATGAAAATCATTCCCATGCGCTGCGGCTGGTCAGCCGGACAGCCAATCTGCAATCCGAAGCGGGATAACGTACGTACGTAACCGATACTTTATGATGTGTCCAAATCATTCGGTGTGCATGCAGGCCAAACGAACCGGATTGTGGACTCGACAAATGGTTGCACTTACAGGGGCACCGGGCATTATGACGCTACTCAACAGCACAATACAGAGAGGATTTTACAAAAACCGGTGTGCCACAATCCTGATGGCAGAAGCAACAGTTCAATTGACATTGCGCTTACTCCGGACAGAGGGAACAGTGGTCACGAGCTTGCACCAGCCGGCCGAGACCATGCAAGACCAGTAAAGCCATCCACAATAATAGCCAATAGATAAGCGATTGCCCAATCACTGACAGCGTCAGCCATCAGTCCAGATGTTGTTCATCATGTCTAAGGGTCGTTATTTGATGATTTGATTCGTCAGGCCGACACCCACGACACATCATGCAGCAATGTGTGACATGTAGTTCCCATGCATCGAGGACAAAGCAGAGGCTAGCCGTGTTCGCTGAGCCACGGTGAACGTCGGTGGCGAAGGCGGTGCAGAAGCCGCATCAGTACACGGGTAGAAACATGGACGTCATACAAGGCGGCAAAGTACCCCATGATGAATCAGATGCCAAGCAGACGCATGCAAGCGTATCGGGCGGACGAGAAGGCGGCGGCGAAGAGCTTCAGGAGCACGGCGAGAAGGTCAAGTACGACGGTGAACACTGGACCTCAAACGAGGGCGACGACAAGCGAGCGAGGAGGCGAAACGGTCAGCACGGCGAGCCAAAGGCCGGAGAGAAAGGAAGATGTTGGCCGCGCTGACACGGCAGGTCACGACAGGGATAAGCGCGTGACGGAGTGTGACGCGGAAGCCATATCGGGTCACGTTATGTCACGATGCTGACCGACGGCCGGTGTCCGCTACTCCCCGCACGACTCCTCATACTTACATGCCTAAGTCTCTCCCATTCCCATCTCCGCACCACCTCCCGCTCTCCCTCCCCCCTCCCCCGACGGCCTGATGGCTGGCTTCTTTTCCAAAGTCGCCACCTGGTACAATAAGACCAATACATTCCTCGACAATGTCGTCAACTTTAATGTTGAGGAGATCTTTAACCGCTCCAAGGAGGTCGGTCCGCCGCGCACGGTATTCGTCCACCAGAGTCTGCCAGAAGACTACCTGGACCACAAGGGCAGGATCAAGAAGGAGCATGTCTATTGCACGAATCAAACCATCACGTCCAAATACTCTCTCGTCACTTTCATCCCTCGAAACCTCCTCGAGCAGTTCCGCCGGGTAGCAAACATCTTCTTCCTCGCCATCGCCATCCTGCAATTCTTTTCTATCTTCTCTACCATATCCCCTGGTCTTGCTATCCTTCCTCTGCTTATTATTCTTGCGATCACTGGTCTCAAGGACGGCTATGAGGATTTTAAACGCCATCAGTCCGATCACAGCATCAACCACTCCGAGGTGCTTGTTCTGAAGGGTGGTGCTTGGAGGAATCCGAATGCCATGCAAGGCAAGGAAAAGACTTTCATGCCCGCCATTGTCCCGACCATCATGTCCTATCGCAAGAAGAGAGCCCCTGTTGCAGACGTTGAGGCGATCGAGCTCGAGCGCGCCGCTCCACCTGAAGGCGTGGATGGACAGCTTCGTGGAGAGAACGGCCAGGACAATGCGATGGAAGGTGTGGAGTTTGACGATGATGATCAGGATGGTGGGTTGTTCCGTACTCTCAGTGGTGATCCGGAGGGAGACCATGCCCGGCCCCACTGGAAGAAGATCGCCTGGGAGGACATCAAGGTAGGGGACTTTGTCAAGATCATGGACAATGAGTCCTTCCCCGCCGATATCCTCATTTGTGCGACATCCGAGGATGAAAACGTTTGCTATGTCGAGACGAAGAACCTCGACGGCGAGACGAACCTCAAGTCGCGCACAGCGAATCCCGCGCTCACCCACCTGCGCTCTGCGCGCGAGTGTGCAGACATCCGCAATTCATTTCAGGTCGACTGCGATCGTCCCGACAATAACCTGTACAAGCTCAATGCAGCTGTCGTATCCGAGAAGGATTCAAAATCCGCCGTGGACATCTCGATGGTCTTGCTCAGGGGTACCGTGCTGAGGAATACCCGCTGGGTGATAGGACTTATCCTTTTCACCGGCAACGATACCAAGATCATGCTCAACTCCGGCGGTGCGCCCAGCAAGCGCAGTAAGGTGGAGCGGCAGATGAATCCCCAAGTGTATGTCGTAGTATGCTTTACTTCGTTGTACACTTTCGTTGATAACTTTTTGCGTAGATTCATCAATCTAATCATTCTTGCTGCAATGGCTGTCGTGTGTGGTATCGTGGACGCGGTTCTCGAGCAGCGCTACTACCCTCGCCTCGCGCCTTGGCTATATGACGATAATCAGTCGGATAACAACACACATGTCAACGGTGTAGTGACATTCGCTTTCGCTCTGATCACGTTCGTGCGATCTCACTTGTATCTGGCATTGGTACTCATGAGCCGCATCCAGCTTCCAAAACATCATCCCTATCTCATTGTACATTTCCGTAGAAGCAGTACGAACATGCCAGGCCCTTTTTATCTATTTCGATCATGAAATGTATTACAAGGAGACCGATACGCCCACATTAGCGAGGAGTTGGAACCTTTCGGACGATCTGGGTCAAATAGAGTATATCTTCTCCGATAAAACTGGTACTTTGACTCAGGTGCGTGCCCCCACGTCACTACCTCGTGCCTTTTCTCTCATCAATCTCCCGTTTCCAGAACGTCATGATCTTCAGGCAGTGCTCCGTGGGTGGACGAGCCTACCGTGGGAATGCCAACGGCCAGGGAGACGAAGAGTCGACAAAAGTCGGCGTTCTCGAGGAAGGCGAGGCTACTGGGTCAAAATCATCCGGAACGCACTCGCCGGAGCTCGACGGCAAGAAGACACCGGTGTCGTCGTCCTTGGACGTACCCAACCCGCTCGCCGCCGACAAGGTCGGGCTGGCGGAGCACGTCTTATCACATTTCCGCGACGCTGTACTCGCTGCGGATATCGCTTCCGCGAAGAATGCTGATCCTCAATCGGAGGCTTCCCACCACGCCCATCTCATTAACGGCTTCTTCAGCTGTCTAGCTCTCTGTCACACTGCGCTTGTCTCAGTGGACCCGGCAAGGGGCTCAATTGAGTACAAAGCACAAAGTCCGGATGAGGCTGCGCTCGTGCAGGCCGCCGCGGATGCAGGATTCGTCTTTCGCGGGCGCGACAGGGAGATCCTGACACTGCAGACGCCGTTCTCAGAAGAGTACGAGCGGTACGAGCTACTGAATATTCTTGAGTTCACATCCTCGCGCAAGCGGATGAGCGTCATCGTGCGCAAACTGGACGATGATGAGAAGGAGAAGGTCTTCTTGCTGACGAAGGGCGCTGATAATGTCATCTTCGAGCGCCTCGTGCCTGGATCCAATGAGCTGAAGAAGGCCACGGAGGGTCACTTGGACGAGTTCGCGAGCGATGGACTACGAACGCTCACCTTGGCATACAAGGTCATCACCGGTGAGTATGTATGACACTGTAAAGTGGCAGTTGCTAACGGTCGATTATGTTAGATGACGAGTACGACTCTTGGAACCGCCGCTATCTCGAAGCTTCCGTGTCACTTGAAGATCGTGAAGGGAAGGTCGATGCGTGTTACGAAGAGATTGAACATAACCTCCGACTGCTGGGTGCCACTGCCATCGAAGATCGTCTGCAGGACGGTGTGCCGGAGACGATCGCTGACCTTAAGGAAGCAGGTATCAAGATCTGGGTGGCGACTGGAGACAAGGTCGAAACTGCAATAGGTATGCCTTGATCTTACTCGCTGCACCATAACATCTGACGTCCTGTCTCGTAGCTATTGGCCACAGTACTAACCTCATCGGCCGCCAAGATAATATCATCGTCATTAGAGGCGGGGTCGACGGACAGTCGAAGTCTGTCCACTCGCAGCTGGTGGGCGCTGCGAAGAACTTCTTCCCGGATAGCGGCATTCTCGATGGTGATATTATTATGAGTCCCCGCTCGTCCATGTCGAGGAGCAGGCGCTCTTCTCTTGCTCTGCAGAGAGTGCCCACCGATGCGTCTAGCCTTGTCGGCCACGACAACGGCGAGCGCTCGGGCGGGTTCGTACTCGTCATTGACGGCAGTGCTCTCAGCGTGGTGAGTATGCTCCACTTTATTCTCTTTATGATGTTTCTGATTTGTCGATAGGCCCTCAGCGACGACCGGCATAAGCAGCTATTACTCCGTCTTTCTATGCAATGCGAAGGCGTCATCTGCTGTCGTGTTTCACCGATACAGAAGGCCTTGATTGTCAAGTTGGTCAAGGAAGGCTTAGGCAGCATGACGCTGGCTATTGGGGACGGTGCGAACGACGTCAGTATGATCCAAGCTGCCGACGTTGGTGTCGGTATCTCTGGTCAAGAGGGTCTTCAGGCTGCGAACTCGTCCGATTATGCTATTGCTCAGGTAGGTTGTGGTACTATCAGTTGTGATTGGTTCGCTGATGACATCGGTCAGTTCCGGTTCTTGAAGAGGTTGTTGCTCGTCCACGGGCACTGGTCATATGCCCGTAATGGTAACATGTATGCTGTGGTTTTTCATGTGATCGTGACGCCGGTCTGACGCGCTCTCAGGATCGTCAACTTCTTTTACAAGAACATCATTTGTATCGGCGTCCTCTGGTGGTTCCAGATCTACTGCGGTTGGAGCAGTGCATAGTGAGTTGGATTTATCGGTACCATCACAGCATCTCGTCTCACTTTGACGGGATTAGCGCCTTCGAATACACTTATCTCCTATGGTGGAATTCTTTCTTCACTATCGCCCCTGTCATTGCCATTGGATTGTTTGACAGACATGCCGGTAGGTTTCCCTGAGTGTTTTGACGGTTCTCATCGAGGTCTCATCTCATGACATAGACGACCATATCCTCATGGCTCTCCCGGAGCTGTACAGTCATAGTCGTCGCGGCGAGTACTTCGGCACCAGGCTCTTCCTTATTTACATGTTCGACGGAATCGTACAGGTATGTACCGTGCTCGTTCCCCACGCACTGAGATACTGACATGCCTGCAGTCCGTGCTGATCTTTTTCTTGATCTTCTACGGATACAAGACGACTACGTCTCGGACTGACGGTTACGCAGTATATCAATACGAGTTTACCACGGTGCGTTTGAACTGCGTATCTGCTTCGGAACTTACTAAACTGCATTGTAGGTGATGGCGATATCGGCAGTCACGACAGCGAATCTGTTCAATGGTCTCAATACTGCCGCATGGACTGGCTGGGTGTTTTTCGCCGTAGCACTGGGTATCGTGCTTGTGTGGGCCTACACGGTATGTTCAGCCATCCTCCCTCCACCTTCGTGTCTCACATCTCTGTAGGCTATCTACTCCGCAATCACTCCCTCGTGGTTCGTTAGTCCCGTCTACGGGAACGACGCCTACCTCTGGCCATCCGCGTATTTCTGGTTCGGCATCTTCCTCACCGTCGTGCTCGCCCTGTTACCGCGCTACGTATGCAAGGCGTATAAGTTCACATTCAACCCGAGCGACATCGACCGGGTACGTTGGCTGCACAAGCTCGATCCAAACCGCGACTTCGCGTCGGAGCGGTCGCAAGGGATCGCGAACCTGAAGGAAACTCCGAGCCGGCGGTCGACAGGCTCCCGGCGGCGGCCGTTCGGGACCCATGCAGTGGGAAGCAGGACGGATATGTCGACGGGTGTGCGCTCGCAGAGCCGTGGGTTCGACTTCTCGACGGAGGAGAACGGCATCGCGCTGCAGCGGATGCAGACGAACTTGTCCGAGCGCCACGGCTTCAAGTCACCATTCAAGAGGCGAAAGCGGAGCGGCTCGCTGTTGCCGCACTTCTCGCTGTCGCGGTCGCTAAGAAGGAAGAAGCCGCCAGCGCTAGCGGAACAGGTGTCACCGGAACCGGCGGACAGGCCACCGCACGACCCGCCAACACATACCTCCGCTTCATCGTACTCTCAACTCTAGAATCACGCCGGACGCTTCATACATTCAATAATTATTTGCTCACGTTCGTTTGCTGTTGTTCCCCACCTGCTTATATATGGCCCGTAGTTGTAGCCCTCACCTGCATCTCTCACGACCTACGTTAATTCCACGAGTATTGTGCCCGGCTTTGTTCCATTTGTCTCGTCTCTATTCTCGTCATGATCTTTCACGTCGCCATTGATACCTCCTTAACTTTCATTCCTCATCGGTTGGAGAGGACATCATGCAAGCATGTGCCTTGTGCCGCTGGTGTTTTACCGCCTCGACTACTGTTTGCTCACTTACATGTGCAGGAGCTGGCTGGGGCTGCTCATACCTACTATGTACAACCAGGATTCACACCACAATGTCATTGCCTCTGAGAAAGAAATGGAGTGTATGTACGGCCAGAATATTGGCGGCGATCTCCGCACCCAGAACGCAATACTACTGATCGCAATGCCGCAGACAACTACCGCATGTTTTCTGAATATGTGCTATAAAATCGCCCGAATTTCTCGGACACGAAATTATCTAAATCGAAGAGTTCTGTTTCGCTAGCAAATATTGGCAGACGATGCAGCAAGCGCCTCCTCGCGACGCGATCGATCAGCGCTGTGTAGATGTGGGCGTCTTCCACGTGATCGCGCTTTCCACTTCTCGTCAGGACCTTCCAGCATTCACGGTGTCTGTGACGCTCATGCTACATGCAGACCTAACTTTGTCACATAGCTACAAGCTGATTTTTTTTGTCTTCTTTTTTGTTCTGCTTCTTCGAAGAGAAAGTGGCCTAGTCCTCCAACCCTTTCTGGGCAAGGAATGATCACAACTAAAGGGATCGCCCGAATAAAGTGATACTCATGACAAGGGGGGAATGCCACCAGTGAGGAAGGTATAGACCCCAAATCCCTTGAGAGTAGAGATTCATCGAAAACTTGAGCGTGTCCAGACACGAAGTTCTGCGATTGTCGGGGCAGACGTTTTCAGATACCGCAGCAGGGCCCTCTATTTCTGTATGCCTCAAAACCTACTTAGCTCAGTGCCCGGCACCGATACTCTATCGCCAGCCAATATGTAAACAACTACGGGAACTTCAGAAGAGAAAGGACGATCTGCACTGGTGGTCGCAGGATAGACAAAAGAACTTACGCTGAGAACCGGGAATCCGTGACAGAACATGTGTGAAAGAGACATAATGTTGCCTAGGCGAGATAGCGCTCTGCAAGCATGCCCCCTGCAACGATATATCCCAAGTAACCATTAGCCTTGATGCGGACATGAGCAACGTTAGGAGAGGGGAAATGTAGAAGCACTGACATTGAACTTGCGCCAGCAGTCTTCCGGATTGTCGGCTCGGAGAGTAAGGAGCTGCCAGGACAGGTGCGCCGCACACCCTCCGACGGCCAGGACAAAGTAGACCGCGCTTCGACCGGTGACGACTCCGGCGTAGCCAAGGCTGGCTACGAAAACAGTCGCGAACATGGCGAGGATAGGCTTCACGAAGTCGCCGAAGAGAAGTGCAGTCGACTTCACGCCCGCTGTGACATCGTCCTCGCGATCCTGCGGAGAAAGGCAGGATGAGTGGAAATGCTAAAGACATGAGCGATGTAGACGAACCTGGCAGCCGTAGATGGTGTCATACACGATAGTCCAGCTTCGACACAGAAAGGTGAGAATATAATGAGCGGCATTGTTGGTTCAACGCACCAAAATGCTCCGAACGTGAGCGCCCACATAGCCGTAGACTTCACATCCTTCGGCGCAGCGATGAGCCACGCGGTCGGAAGGCCCCAGTTCATCGCAAGACCTGGTTGGCTTCAGCGACGACTCACATTGCACGCGAGTCAGAACATTACCTAGCCATGCCTGCGGCCACCATGTGATCCGTTTCATGAGTGGGTAGAATGCGTGCAGTGGAAATACGCCAAACGTGCCGCAGAGGAGGCTTCTTGACGCGTGAGTATTTACGGACTCAGGAAGAGTAAGATGCGGGATGCTCACGCGGTCTGATTCACCGATGCCAGCATGGCGAAAAATACCAGGACTTGCAAGGCGAGGAAGACGGTGGCGCCGAAGATAGAGACCGCACCAGTTACCAAGGGTCTATTCTTCGTTCGTTCTATGCCGCAAGAACACATAAGGTCAGCATGCCTGGACACATAGAAACGTATACATACCGACTTGACGGTCAAAGTCTATATCGCAGATGTCGTTGATGGTACAGGCCGCACTGTGCAACAGTGTGCTGCCCACGAGGAGAGCGAATATATGAACCGTAAGTTCGCGCGGGGAGAGCCCTGCACTACCAGGGGAGAGGAGGTATCCCCAAACTTCAATTGTGTCAGTCATCCACCAGCATAGATTGGGGGCTCATCACGCACCACAGGGCCAGAAGACAAGGATAGAACCAGCAGGAAATTTGTGCATCCTGGCCAGCTCCCAATACGGACGCCACCACGAAGGTGAAGGGCCTGCGGGATTCGTGGATATCATCTTCTCAGCACTATCTGTCATGTTGCGCGAGAGATTGCGGCTTGTAGACCGGGAGATGGGATAGAGTTTATATAGGCCACCACAGAGGTGCGACCAATAGTATGATAGATAAGATCCGGGCGTATTTTACCGCCGTGATTGAGGGAACGTGCTAATGCCCCTAGAAACGGAGGTCGAGTGACCGCATAGAATTGGAGCGCAATGCGAGCGGTACGCCAAGAAGTTTCGTGGCTTTACCTGACAGGCGTGTAGCATCTGTCCCGAATTGCAATCTGCTCCGGTGCAATGGTCGGAGAAAAAGAATGTATGTAGATTTCTGGATCGCACAAAGGGAGAAAATGAACCCCACGATGGGCGGTTACTCATGCGAGATCATCGCGGCGACCGACTGCATTTCCGAATTTTTGCGCGTTAGCTATCGGAACGAGTTCCAGTTTTAGCTTATTCTGTAGCAGAGAATGAGCTGTAACAGGTGCAACATCACTTCATATCAGTTTAAACGGTATCCCAGATCAGTATCCTCGACGTATCAAGGATACTAACCCAGCGCAACTTGAATGACATTCTGGCGTCATGATAGATGGTGACTTCAAATATGCTGCGGACCAGTGTAAGTGGCCGCTCACACGAATTCAGTTCCCAGAAGACTGGTACACAGCCATCAATCGCTCACACGCAAAGGCATGGACGCGCATGTGTTTGACAATGACGACGTACGCTCACCACAATGTATAACAAACGTTGTAGGTAACACAGTGCCTTGAACAGCTATCACTGCTGCGGTCGTTCTGCTCATTCTGCGGGGAAAGTAAATCGAAATATCAATCGATCAACGGTCTTTTTCGCTGTTCGAGAGCCGATGCTTCCACCCGAAATACTGCGAGATATTAAAGCATAATGGCTGACTTACAACGGACGAAGGACGCTGTGGCTGGCGTTACGCCGCGGAGACAGATTGCATTATGTTCTTTGAGTTTCTTTCATGTTTGAGTGACGAGCGGGAACGGGCGCTTCTCGGAGTTTCAACGCTATTCAGCGTTTGTCACGACCCTCGCCGTTTGTTGTACTTCTGCTACACCGAGCTCGCACATCTGGATCGTTCTTGGTACATGCGTGTGAACGTTCTTCACTCGACCAATTCTTTGATTGGACATTCTTCAGAGCATTTGGATATTACTGGCGCCGCATCTGACGTTCATGATTCATCTGTCTAACAAGCAGCAGCAACCGAACCTTTATGGGGACGAAACACGCTCTCACACTTTGCCATCAACCCCAGGTATTGATGGCTAGTTTTTTTTTTCAGATGTGGCTCCCTGACAGTGCATGCATCCTGTCCCATGTCACAGACTTGCGGACGCTTTCAGGGACGATGCACCTTTTCAGGTGGGGGATGTGATCCATATTGCTACTAGCGCTGCTGGCTTGATTACTCAGGTCTCGGATAGTAGGGTCTTTGCGACGACTTGGATATGTATACACGATGTTCGGCTTTGTGGCGACTGCGCAGCATCAGTATTGAAGCACTTCAAGAGGCTTAATTTAATTGAATCTCTATGAAAGATGAACACCGGCTCCTTTCCTCCGCACGGTCTGATTGCGAGGTTTTCGACATAGCTGGCGAGTTCCCTATCAGTGAACCATGCCCTGCGTCACCATTGCCACGGTACGTACGAGGACCACCCTCTACAGATAGTACGTGCAGACCATGGAAACTTATGTTAACCAAGATCCGCTCTCCATCGCGAAAAATGGCGCTTTGATTTGGAAGCACGGATGCCTGATATTGACAATGATATCCATGTCCAGACGGAGTTATCAGATTCTCATACTGGAGGCGAGATATATTTGCTCACGAACAAAGGATGCTGAGTCACACACCATGCAGGCCCGAGTAAGTATCGGCGCCTGCGCCAGTACATCGCGGCATTTGTTCGTGTGCGTGCTACAGCGGTCGATGGCGTCGTCTCTGTATTAAGCCACCCAAGACCGCCGTCTCGCCGCGATGACACTTGGCATCCGTCGCCGTATTCTATGACGGGCCGCGTCGATGGGTAGGCACGGTTGTCAGTATGAAGGCGTCTCAGCGAGGGCGCTCCTAGTGAAGTTCTGTCGTTGCTGCCAGTGCTAGCGTTTCTCTAATAGTTCCTGAGGTATTTACGAGGCCAGTCATATGGCCTACATGATGGCTTACGAACGACGATCTCTCAGGCCGCATTAATATCGTCAGAGGGCTTTTCGACATGGGTGTCAAGTCCGTTATCGTGGTGATGGTGAGGCGTTCCGTTGAGCTAGCCATGTTCATTTGATAATCTGATATCATGGAGGTCGCGTCTTCCTTCCTATCAGATCACCTGCGACATCTCCCAATCATATCGTGGTTGGGCGTGTAAGCGTACGATCTCTTTAAATCAGGTATACATAGCCCTTGCCGTCGCAGCAACAAAATTAACCATTTTACTACAACATACATACATTGGTGAGCATCGGCTCGCTCTACACGGATTGGTGGATTTCGCTGATGTGCACTTTCGCCTGGTCAAGATCGCTCAAGAGTCTCTGCAAGCCGATGCTGCGTTTCCGCTGTATCCTTTATTCAATGCTGGCGTTGTACTCCTGCATCTGCGTCATGCATCGTGTTTGACCGAACGCTCTGGCACTTTTCACGATGTAATTCATCTCTTTGGTGACTGGATGGGACTTCAGATATCTGCCTGTTGGCCATCTATGCTGCGTCAGTGCGAAAGGCACCGAGGTTCGAGTTAATGAACCCCCCTTGCTGCAACTGTCTCCTGCGTCTTCGCGACGCATTCAGACCTGTCTAGGCTCGGTTGAACTATTTGTACCTTTGACGGTGCGTGGTGACGGTGCGTTCGTCACTTCGCTCTTCTTTGACGTGTTGAGGAAACACCTAGTGTTCTATATCGACCCTTTGACACCGCATATCTTCAATGAAAATGCCTCTTCCAAGGGGCGTGAGCCTTATATTTTTATCCCGCGGTCCCCTTCGGATGTCTTCGATCGATTCCTATTCTTTCAGGTGGGCTTGATCGTACTCTTTGCCTACATTTACCCAGTTCGGTTCTCCTTCCGACAGTTTCTTTTGGGCGTCTGACAGAATAGTTTTGGTTCTCGCTGATGATAAGCCGCCATGTGAAGTTGATCCAGTGACAGCTGCGGAATTGATGTGCAAGGCAGTATATCTGGTGACCGGAGAGAGAATGATTGGCTATCTCCGGTTCGAGTCGGAACATGTGGAATGAAGTGCGTGATGGCATCATTTTCGGTCTGAATGTGTTAATTACAGCTTCGCTTGCCTTTTGCGCTTCATTCTAACATGTTTGATGTTCTGAGGCTGTGCTGGATGGCTAGCTCTTCGCGACGGCTATCAGACTTCCTTCCGAGTATGACATACAGGCCTATGTCGGCAGCGCCAGTGACGGCACAGCTTGACCTGCTCATTAAAAGCTGAGCGGACGATCGTTATTACCTCTGCGCCGCAAAGCTGCTTCCTGAACTCATGAAGTATTCAGTGGTACTTCTTCTCTCTACTCTGTCCTCTTGTTCTCTACCTGCATCAGCTCTATCAGCGGCTGCAGAGGCATATGCCCGGACCTAGTTCCCTGTCCAGCCGGTGTCTCCCTCGTCAGGAAGGCCGGTTTCACCAACCAATCTCTGAGCGACGAGGAGACAGCCTACATCTCCGCCAGGACGGCTGAGGTCATCCCTCAAGCCTGGTCATCGTATCTCACTACACTCTTGGGGAGCAATGTGTCCGCTCTGCCAGACTACGTTCCTGCAATCCTGAATGGGTCGTACGGCACGGAGGCGTACCCTAATTTCTCCATTGCCACAAGCGGTAGAGGCTATAGGGCCGCAGCGTTTGGAGCAGGCGTTCTGAACGCTCTGGATGGGCGCAATGACACGTCAGTACGTGCAGGGACAGGAGGGCTCCTGCAGGCGGCGATCTACTTGAGCGGTCTGTCTGGTGGAGGTTGGCTTGTCGCTTCGCTAGCCCAAGCGGACTTCCTTTCCCTCCCAGAGCTCGTCTTCGGCCCTACTGTCACATCGGCAGAAGGATGGGGTGAATGGCTCACCGACATTGACCTCGCCGATCCCAGTAACAGCACGCTTGTAGATGTGGAGTACAGATTGGAGGCGATTGCGGAGGTTTTGGGAAAACTTGAGCGTGGGTTCCCGGTTTCGATCACGGATTCATGGGCCCGGCTGCTCGCACGCCATTTCGTGAACGGTACCACGGCGGAGAGCTTCTGGGACTTCAATCTGACTCATGGTGCCGGATTGACATTCTCATCAATATCCAGCTTGTGAGCCCATCCTTTTCTTTCCTTGTGAGATGCGCTCATCATTTTCAGGGATACATTCGTGAAACACCTTCAGCCTTTTCCGATACTCGTGATCGATTCGGTGTCATCGCAAGGAAATATCACCGCGATATTGAACGGAAACCCAGTGCCACTAACAAACCCTCTCTTTGAGGCCAATGTTTGTAAGTTCGTGAGCGCAACGGCCCTGGTTTTGGCCTCCTCACCTGCTTCGGATATAGATGAATTTGGTTCCTTCGACCCTGCTTTGGCCGCGTTCACGCCTATGCAGTATTTAGGGTCACCGAACAGTAGTATATGTGCCACCGGATTCGATCAGATTGCATTCATTGAGGGGATCTCTTCCAACACATTCAATACGAACAGTTCCTCAGTAGGCAGTGCTTGATGTGACTCTGGCTTGCAGGCTAATGGGGTATTTCGCAGACCAGTGCATCCAACGAAAGCTATCTAGCAGAACTACTGCAGGCTGCCTCCGACATAGTGTTGAACGCCGATCCTGACCTAACAGTTGCCTTGGTACCCAATGCATTCTATGGCGTGTCACCTGATACCTTCATTGACGCAAATGAAACCCTTCTCCAATTAGTGGATGGTGGAGAAGATGGAGAAATGATACCTTTTGTGCCTCTATTGGTCAAATCTCGTGGTGTCAACATGATTTTCGCCATTGATGCTGTGAGACTGCAAATTGGGCTCCTCGAATACACAGGAGCTGATGATTGACTTTAGTCTAATGATGCGACCAGCAATTGGGCAGACGGCAGCGCGATGATTGTAAGGCTTCACTGGCACTTTCATCCGCAGATGTTGTAACACTCCACTGAATGCCGCTATCCATACAGGTGATGCAAGATCGTGTAACTTATTTCCCGGAAGCATACTCCTTCCCACCTGTTCCGACCTCAGTGTCGACATTCCTCGCGCATAATCTCACGACACGCCCTACCTTCTTCGGTTGCAACAGCTCAACAGAGTCAGATGAACCGCTCATTATCTACCTTGCGAACGGCGGCGCACCATTCGGGAAGACTGCCATTATGAACACTTCCGTGCAGCAGATCTCTTACAGCGAGACGGAAATGGAGGCGCTCCTATCGCAGACCTTCGATGTTGCCACACAGGGCATCATGACGGACGGTGGAGAGAAGGACCCTGATTGGTCCGCTTGCCTGGCGTGTGCGGTAGTCGACTGCTCGCGGCTCCAGGAGACAACAGGGGATCGAGTTAAGTGGTCTGTGTGCCTCCTGCTTGCAGCGATATTGCTGGAGCTGAGGAGGTGTCACAAAGCACCAAAGCACTTAACCCAATTAAGGGCAAGTCTGCTTTTGTGACCTGCACAAATGATCCCACATAAAAAGCCTGCCACAAGGGCTAGGCTGAGGATGTGCGCAGTGGTATGCAGTCTGGAAATGGGGCTCAAAGGGCCCTTAGCCTTATGCTCACAACAAAGGGGTGAATTGGCTTGTTAGGCCGCGTGCAATAGAATAATAAATCTAAGGTTCTCCCTTAGATCCTCATGGACTTATATACATGTAGGGCAGGGCCCCTGGCACTGTGCTACTGTGAGACCTCAGATACCTACATGTGAATATATTGCCAAAACCAGTAATGGTTCTGGACTTCGTCATAGCAACTATCTACAATGGCTATGGATACGCCGAGGTAATCCTATCTAATCCAATGAGATAAATGCCTGTAAGTGGGCCCACTGTTGAGGGGCCAATGGGTGATGGCCAACAGAGCACATCACAACGGTTGCAACATCAGATGAGAGGATCTGTCCAAACTCAGAACAATGAGTGTGACGATCAATCTTCATCTGGATAGGGTTGTGAGAAGATCTAGCCTATCCTGTACCTGGCTATACTGTATGCCGGTTGGTAGGAGAATCCCCTGTTGTGGTATCTGCCTATTGGTTTAGGCAGCAAAGTGGTGCCACTATTTTGAGTGGTGAATTGGGTGCTTGCTAGCTTGATGGTCCAATGGGTTCCGTTCTGGGCAAGTGGCCTGGTGTCACATGACCAACGCCTGACAACTTCCGAATAGGGCAAGTGGCCAGTGTCACGTGACTGGGTGGCTGAATCATGGGCGCTTGGTGGTCGTGTGGTAGATACAGTCATGTTCGTGATGTATGTGGCGGCATTGTGCTGTTTGTCCAAGTATCCACGTTGTGAGACCAATATGAAGGTTGGCGTCCAAATAACCACTCAAGTGAGGACTTTAATGGTGCAAAAAGAAAGGTGCCACTTAATACTGTGACAGGAGGACTTGAGCGATTCTGGCCATCCTAGGATCAACTTGACACACTGGCATACATTGAACAATCATCTTTAGAACACTCATACATGCTTCATTTGTAGACGGATGGAAAACGAGTGGAAGGGAGGGCAGACGCTAGAGTCAAAGGCTTCAGCTCTTTGATGATAGAAGGACTGTATTAGTAGTATGTACCTAGAGTCAACTACGATACATTAGTATGTAAGCTGCATTCATGCAGGACAGTATCGGTACTCACAGGCTTCAGCTCCTTGATGATAGAAGGACTGAAGCCCGCAGAACGAGCGAAGCTTACATAAAAGGAAATACCAACTGATAAGTCCATACTTAAGTACAGCTAGGCTTGATATTCCAACACTCCCCCTCAAGCCAGGCGAAGTCCAAGCATTCCGGCGAACTTCTCCACCTTCTGGCGGGTCAATGCCTTGGTAAGAAGGTCAGCGACCATGTCATTGGTCGGGCAATACAAGATGACGGCGCGTTCCAGATCGATAAGCTCATGAATGAAATGGTAGCGAATGTCGATATGCTTCGTTCGCACATGAAGGAGTCCACTCTGCACGATCGCGATTGCGCTCTGATTGTTGGCGTGTAACGGTGTCAGTTCCACCAGAGGCGAGGTGAGTTCTGCGAGAAGCGCGCGTAGCCACAACAGCTCGCGCGACGCGTCAGATGCGGCAATGTATTCGGCCTCCGTGGAAGACAGCGCGATAAGGGGCTGCTTGCACGAAGACCAGCTGACAGCTCCCCCAGAGTAGAGGAAGCTGTATGCCGAGATCGAGTGACGGTGGGCTTGCGAGGCTCAGTCGGCATCAGTGTAACCTATAAGACCGTCGGTTGTCGCACCGAATGTCAAGGCCAGGTCGCGTGTGCCTTTAAGATAGCGCAGCATGCGTTTTGCAGCTTCCCAATGCACGGGCGCTGGGTCAGCCATGAAGCGCGCCAGTGTCGAAGTGGCAAATGCGATGTTGGGACGTGTGCCGATAGCGGCATACATAAGGCTCCCGATGAGCCTTGCATATGGCTTGCGAGCCATGTGCGCGCGATTTTCGTCCGAGAGCTCGATACCGAAGAGGTTAATGTGGGAGTCCATCGAAACCGTGAGTGCGTAGGCATCGGTCATGCTGAAGCGATCGAGTATAGTGTCGATATATGCAGCTTGCGAGAGCGAGATGGTGCGAGCAGCACGGTCACGGCGAATCTCAAAGCCTAGAAGCCAGTGCGCCTCGCCCAGGTCAACGATCTCAAATCGTGCGGTGAGCTCCCGCTTCATATCAGTCATGGTGGCCGTCATGTTGGTGACGAGTGTGCAGTTGTCGACATGGACAACAATGATGATGATGACCTTAGAAACATAGGCGAAAAACACATCGTAGTCGTGTTTGCTGCGCTCTAGACTCAAGCCAGCAAACAGCTCACAGAGCTGAATATACCACTGTCGGCCAGCCTGTTTGAGGCCGTACAGTGCCTTGATGAGCCTCCAGACATAGTCTTCATGTCCGGGAACCTCAAAACCACGTGGCTGTTTCATATAGATGGTCTCGTCAAGCTCACCATTCAGATATGCGTTTTTGAAGTCTATCTGGTGGATTTCCCAGTCGTTAGCAGCGGCGAGCACGAGTGCAAGTCGTAGCGATGCAAGACTCGCTGTCGGTGACGCCATCTGGTCGAAGTCGATGCCCGGGATCTGCGAGAATCCTTGCGCGCACAGGCGTGCCTTGTACTTCGCGATCTCGTTGTTCTCATCACGTTTCCTGCAGAGCGACCATACCGATCCAACGACGTGCGTGTTCTCCGGCTTCTCAACTAGCTCGTAGGTTCCCATCATCTCTATCTTCGCCAGCTCCTCCTGCATTGCCTCTCGCCACTGCTCACGTTCCAGCCCAGCCATCGCCTCGCGGTACAACAGAGTGTCGCCAGCCATGGCCGCCAGAGCATAGAGGGTCTCCCCCTCATCATCGGACTCATCCTCTGGCTGATCCTGCACAAGCTTCACGTGCTCGAGAATGCTCCTCGAAACGCGCTGTGCGCTGCGTCCACCAGTGGTGCCAGTACCTGACTGTAAGTCGCGTATCCATTGAGACGGCTGACGTACGTGTTTAGGACGTCCAGCTCCTGGCTCGGGTGTGCTCTCCGGCTTGGTCGCCACGCTCTCTGGCTGCAGCGGCTCGGTGTTCACGTTTGTTGACTCATTCGGGATGGTTGCAGGCAGTTGGATGGCGTTGGACGGTGCGATGGTCGTGGCTGATGTGGAGGTCGATGGAGGTTGGAGTGAAGCACCCGTAGGCACGTTCTGGCCGCTTTTGGCCTTGTTTGGCTCCCCCTCGGGCACGTTGACGGAGATGGCTGCATTTTCCTCGACGAAATGCACGTCGCGTTTGACAGATACCTTGCGCTTGTCAGCTCAGTACATGCGGTGGCCCTTGCTGTGCGCATCGAACCCAACCCAGCGGCCTGGATGCGACTTTGGATCGAGCTTCGAGGCTGCATCAATGCGCACTCATACAGTGCATCCAAAACATGGTAGAGGGTCAAGATGGGGTTTCTCACCGGTAGCGCGTTCGTGCGGGGTCGACTCGGGGGTGCTGTGCGTCGTCGTGCAGTTGCGAAGCCACACGGTGTGCATGGCGGACTCAGCCCATAGGAATTTGGGGAGGTACACGTCGAAGAGTAGCACGTGGGAGTGCTCGGCAAGCGTACAGTTAATGCGTTCAGCTTTGCCGTTCTCCTGTGGGGAGTCATGCATGGTTTGACGATGGTGCGTACCTTCGCTCTTCAGGTAAGTCTGGAACTCTGTACTCATGTACTCCCCTCTGTTATCGCTCTGCAGCTCCTTGATGGCCTTGACACCTCGGTGAGTTTTCGTCCACGAGCTGTAGGCCTTGTAACGAGTGAGGACATCACTTTTGTGGGCAATAGGGCAGATGATCACCTCGTCCGAGTAATCGTCTATAAAGGAGACATAGTACTCCTTGCCTGCTAGGGACTTCACCGGCGCCTTCCCCCATACGTCCGTGTGCACGCGCTGACCGTATGCGATCGCTTGCGGGCTCGAGCGTGCCTTCGGGAATGACTCATGAGTGTGCTTCGCCTTTGTGCATGGTTCGCAGAAATCGGTGGTCGAGTCCTCGAGTCGCACTCCGGTGACGATATTGGCCTCAACCATTTTCTTGAGGGCAGGGGCATGGGCATGTGCCATGTGACGGTGGAACTCAGTGAGTGACAGCATCATCGTCAATGCTGTGTCCTTCGCGGGTGCTGATGGGATCGGCGATCCAGGTAGGGGGTACAGACCGTTGTGCTCAGCGGCTACAAACACAGTGGTACCTCGAGGGGAGACGACATGGCACCCATCGTGCTCGAAACGGATGGCGTAGCCAGCCTTCGTAGTGCGGCTGATGAAGATGAGAGCGAAGGACATGGACGGCGCGTAGAGGACGTTGTGTAGCGTAAACTTCACGCTTCTTCCCTTGTGTACAGTATCGACACAAACATCGCCTTCGCCTGTGGCATAGAAGATACGTCCATCGGCTGAAGTGATCAGCTTGCGCTCGGTCTCCCAGAAGGTGATGAAATTCACGTGTACCGGATCGAAGTGTCAGCTTGCGCCAGAATCGAGAATTCTGCTGAGCTTCGGGAGCTTCGCTTCCTCGACCTTCGAAAAGTTGGTCGCAATGGCGAATGCGAAAGCCTCATCGTTCTCTGTTGCTGCCGCATTCGCACTGGCTCCCCCAGAGCCCTTGTCATGCTTCCTTCCCCGGTTCTTGCTCCGTGGCCCTTGGCCCTCCTTTCCACCACCCTTTGCCCAGCAGTCCTCTTTCAGATGGCCGGGCTTGCTGCAATTGTTGCATTTCTTCCTCACGTCCTTGCCGTCTGACCTCGTCATGAGCGCAGAGTCATCCGCAGTGCTCTGCGACTCGTCCAGAGCAAACTCATCGCGTGCAACTGAGTAGATCTGGCGTAAGAGTTCATCAGATGCGATGGTGGGAGTGGGAGTTGTGGTGGTGCCAGTAGCCCGCATGGAAGCCAGGTGAGCAGCGGAGAGGATGGTGCATACAACAGGGCGATAAAACTCTGGAAGGCAGCTGATGATGAGCACACAGTATTGCTTGTCGTCAAGAATGCCGTCGGCTGTCGTGAACTCGGCCTTGAGCTTCTGAAGCCTATCTAGAATCGGTCGGGGGTCCTTCTCCTCAGTGCAGCGGAGAGCATGCATCCGTCGGAGTAGTTCAGCCTGTACGAAGTCACCACGGTTGTCGTACTCAGCTATGACCACCTTCCAAGCTCCGGACGCCTTCTTCTCAGGAATAATCTGGAGTTTCAGCATTTCCGGTAGCGTCTGGTATAGAAGCGTTTTGATCGCCTCATGTCCGGCGGCCCAAGTGTCGTACGCATCTGCGTACGCCTCGTCTGCATCGGAATCCACCCCTGTGTCACAGTATTAAGTGGCACCTTTCTTTTTGCACCATTAAAGTCCTCACTTGAGTGGTTATTCAGACGTCAACCTTCATATTGGTCTCGCAACGTGGATACTTGAACAAACAGCATAATGCCACCATATACATCACGGACATGACTGTGTCTACCACATGACCATCAAGCGCCCATGATTCAGCCACCCAGTCATGTGACACTGGCCACTTGCCCTATTCAGAAGTTGTCAGGCGTTGGTCACGTGACACCAGGCCACTTGCCCAGAACGGAACCCATTGGACCATCAAGCTAGCAAGCACCCAATTCGTCACTCAAGATAGTGGCACCACTTTGCTGCCTAAACCAATAGGCAGATACCACAA